CCCCCCCCCCCCGTTGCTAGAGCCCTGAAGCTATTTCAAACACTCGCAGTCCGTGCTTTACCAGATATAAAACCACTCGGCTGCGGTCTGTCGCCTCGTGTTTTATATCAGATATGGGCACTTCTGCTCGTGATTTAAGAAGTACATAAGGCTATGTTACACGAGGCAATTTTTGCTGCAACTCAACGCAATTTCGGATTCAGAGCCATGCATGTTTACATGGGATTTTTGAAATTTCAAAAATTGCATGCAAAAACAGCAACAAAAATTGTCGTGTGATTGGTATTGCATAGACAAAAAGTGCTTCAAAATTGATATGAGTATAATTTCTAACGACTAAATATCAACATATTGCAGTAAAAAGATAGAATTACAGAGTTAAAATTTCATAGATAAAGTTAATAAAACATATAAATGTTCTCTTTCACATTGAGGTGCAGTACTTCAAAATCGTTTTATATGCAACGCTGCGAGTAACATTGTCAACCCCCAAGCTTTCAGACTGTCATCATTGACGCGTTCTTGAACAGTTCATTTCGTAAGCAGGAATCTAAAACTGCTTATTTCGTTTTAGTGAATGTTTACAGCTCATAAAATGATCACAATTTACAAGTAAAAAATAGTAAGTTATTTATGGCAATGGATCTTAGAAGTGTTTACGTCATGTACTTTTCCAACAATGGATTATTGACCCACGCGTATCCCACAATGCACTGTACATTCCAGAAGTTCTATGTTTCACGAATTGCGTGACATCGCACTTCTAAGATCTATTTCTCCTAATTCTTGTTATATTTCGCGATCGTGAATGTTAATGACAGTTCATTCCATATCCCATGTCGGTTGGTTTCCATGATATATTGCAGTCTTTATGCGGAATAATGTTCTTCCAAACTTCGTGGACTCTTTTACCTTTTCGGTGCTGTTTTTCTGCTTGTTTAAGTTGAGTTTCGGCCTCTTCTTTGCTAATTGTTAATGTTTTTGTATCATTGACAACAGCTATGGCTTCAAAGTACAATTCCTCCTGTCGTTCCTCTACTTCTGCCTTTAATTGTTGTAATCTACTGTAGGCGACAGACCTAGTTTCTGGCCAATTTGCTTGAGCTTTATCCACATCTCTTTGAGCTTTATCCAAACGTACTTGAGCGTTCTGTTGAGCTATTTCCGCTTTTTCGACATCATCACCAAAGGTTTTGATTACAAACAAAGCACTATTCTCGGGGAAGTCATCGCCTGACTTCATTAGCCTGTATTCTTTAGCATGATCCCGTCTAACTTTGGCTAACGCCAGCCTGGCATCTACCAGTTGGATTCCTTCCAGTGTTGACGGATCATAGGTGGTCATGGCACACACGTTGTCCAAGCATTTCTTCATCATTGCGCAATGATTATCTTTGTCTTTAATCCATCGTCCTCGAATTCCGTTGTTTGCTTTGCCAACGTAGACTTGTGTTCGACCAATTTCCTGTAACCTCAGGCTGTCACCAGAGTAGAATTCTCCGTCGTTCAGAACTGCCCAGTAAAGCGTAGGTTTAGCTAGAGAATCCTCCAGGCTTTGAACGCTTTCAACTTTCTGTTCATCAGCATTTTCTGTAATAAACTTGCGAATAGATGGATCAATCCAGGACCAATCATTGTCAATGTCCACTTCGTTAAATTCGCCTTCCCCACCAGCCTGCCATGATTTCCACCCCGTGAGTAGTTCTTATATACACCTTGGGACATAATGTCTCTTTGGTAATACTCCGCAGATAATACACTCTTCTTTTTCTTCGACACTCCTTGTACAGCGTTGCCTTGACATGAGCCTGCCGCGGTATATACTTAAGGAACTGGGTTGTATTTACCTTGTCGCAGAATTGGTAGAATGTATAATCATGTGGTTCGCCGCCGTGCGTGTGCCATCTCATATGAAACTGATACTGGATAATATTCTTTACCAACCACTGTGGCGCACTTCTCTTTAGATATTCTGCCATGTCGAGAGGAGATGTTGCCTCAACAAGGTTATTTATCAACGACCAGATTTTCAGGGAGAAGTAATCGTCCAGGGATTTGTCTTCAGGAATGTCAAGTAGCTGATGCAATTCTTGATTTACCTCACCGATGTCTCCTAGACTTAAATCTACGTTGAAATCTACTTTCTTTTGAATTGCTTCATTTACTGCCACAGCTAGTACTTTCATTACTTGTTCCTTGACTTTATGTTCGTTTGAAATATCATCAAACCAATCATAACCGCACTTCATAAGCTGTTGTTTCATATTCTGACAAAAACGCGGATTTGTTCGTACTCCGTCCGCAATATCTGTCAAGTTGGACAAAATTTGCTGGAGTGGCATACTTGGTATATCCATCGTCCTTTGTAGTCTTGTCTTTAGAAGGCACGGGATACCTGATCTTGTCTATCTTCGGCTTTAAAAGCTAGTACATATGTTGTAAAAATAAAACGCGTTAATTCAAAATGTTTCTTAGTTAAGGATGACGTATACATAAAACATTTTGGTTTTGCTATTTGTAAATTTGTTAGTTCGTTTGTTTCAGTCTTTGTTGTATATTGTACGTTTCCTTTTTTATTCCAGGATATATTTGTGAATTTTTCTGTAAATAATGACTGTATAAATATAAGCTTAATATGGATCTGCAGTAATTGGCCTCAGCTGATGTTTTCCTAGCCATAAATGCAAAATTATGCAAATTGTAAATAGGGAGTGTTCATTATTTATACCCGGGGTTGGTACCGAAGAGAAATGGGTTGGGTAAGCCATTTTTCTGGGGTACGAAGGGTTGGGTAAATATTTTTTGAACAAAGCCTATATGGTTGGGTAAATTATTTTCAATACAAACCTTCAATTGAACAAAATATGAAAATCCTTTATTTAACAAAATGGGTCATTCCAGGAAATATCCATTCACTCCCCACATAGAAAACTAAACTCCAACTCCCCATCCCCTCTGATTACAACAACGAGATAATTCAACGAGATATGGTAGGACTGCAGAAACGTGGAGGCTTGGACATAATATGAACTTGTGAAGGTACAAATGATTATATTTGACATTCAGTTAGTGCACCAAATATGCACAGTACTGTTTATACTATAGTGGCCTAGCTTGTATAATAATAAATACAGTATATAAAATGTATATATATATGTAAAATACTTTGAAATTGGGTTGGGTAAAAATCCAAGTCATGCAATAGTTGGGTAGGGGGAAAATGGTTGATCGAAAGGGTGCATGGTTGTTTTTTTCTCTTTTCGATTAGTTTCTCTTCGGTACCAACCCCGGGTATAAATAATGAACACTCCCTAATACAATAAAAACGCCTATATTAAATATAATAGATTTAACTATTAATTATAAATACAATATATAGAAATTCTAAGTATAGTAAAAAATGTTTAAGCTAAACAATGTTTGAAGTTAACGATGAAGCTAAGCAATATTTAGTTGAGCAGTAACTACGTTTACAACATTTATCGCCACAAGTTGACAGCCTTTGGTTCCCCTGATGTGGAAACAACTCGTATGGAGTATGTCTATAAGATATGCAAATTAAGAAGTATCTTTACAACCACCGAACATTGTCAGAATGCATGAACCTTGTGGGACCAGTTGTTCAAAAGACAGTTATAATACTTTTATTATTTCAATAATCCTTTATTAATTGTTGAAAAACCACAAAACAAATTAAAGTCCTCATGTTGTTGAATTTTTTTAATAAAGTTTTGACGGAAATAAACCAGTTCATGAGTTTTTCAATGTGAACAAACTAGAGATTAACTGTGGACGCGAAGCCGTCTTTGAACAACTTAACCCAGGTTCACATTTAGTATGTTAAAATATGTATAAATACAGTAAAAATGTTAATAGTTCATGATACCTTTTGTATCAGGTGAACTAGCTATATATAGTTATATATTTTCTACATGGTTCATATTGACAGTAATGCTACTTTGTTGTCCACATCGTTCACAGACTTTGCTATTCTTGTGTTTAAAGTTACACTTGATACATATATGTTCCGTTTCCTCTCTCTTTGGGCTAGGTGATGGCGTCATATCTAAACTGTTGTACTCTTTGTCGTTGCATGTTGCTTGTGTGGGCACATCTCCATTCACTGTTGACTCGCTACTAGTACTGCCGTTTAAATGCATTGAGCTAGGGGTAGTGGTAGCGAGTTTTGGGAAGTATGGGCGAAAGTACCCCATACTCGGAGATCCGGGAAGCAGGTATGGAGATGTGGGAACATAACCCGGGTAAAGGTAACGATAAGTATTGTTGAGAAGGCTTGCGCTAAGATTTAGTAAAGGAGAATCGGTACTGGTAGTTGATGGCAGGGTTGTTGCTGGGGCTTGCATAGGTATGACTGGGGGACTGGTGCCTGATGACGTAGATGATGATCTTGTCATCACCTGAATTGCGTGGAGTATGTTTCCATAGCAACCTTGTAAAATCATCTCGAGAAGAAAGCGATGTTCACTGGGAAATAATCTCGCGAGCAGCTCGATGTCCGATGGTGTTGGGCTTGGGTTTGTTATGCAGCTTAGTGGAATATCAATAGGAATTCGAACTCTCTTGGTTTCTGATTGTTCTGGATCAGTTGTCATGTCTGCTTTTCTCTTTTCTTGTTCTGAAAAATATTGGCAATGGAACAGTTTAGTCGTAAATTCATAGCACATGCAGATATTGAATTCGAATATGCAGTTTAGAAAACTAGTCTTCGTCTTTCTAAGCTAAGTCTGTTCAGGGTCAGTGGCTGGCGTAGCTAGCCACAGCGACTGGTCATGCTGTGCTAATAAACCTGCACCAAATTAGTTTAAAGACAAAGACAATGGATATCTGTGGGTTTGAAATACTTTGAATAATACAATAATTTAAATGCATAGCATGACCAGTTGCTATGGTTAACTTCGCCACTGGTTTTGGTTCATATCACATAATGAGATGTAGAAAGTTCCCTAGTATTCAGAAACATATTTAATGAAGATTACATACACTCCACTAACATTTCTCTCTTGAAGTTAACATTGGGTAAAGTAAAACTACGCAACGCTAATGCAAAAGAAGCAACGTGTTATGAAGGGTGTCATACGTATGGTGTTGTTTTGCTTGTACATTATCAGATTTTCCCATATATATACATTTAATTAACTTAAATTTAACTTAAAAGTTCAGTCGTTTTGTGTTGTTTATTTTCATTTGTACCAATCCGTCGGAACTCATCAAATTTTTTCTCACAGAAAACAACTTCCTGTTTGTGTGTCCAAGGTATTGTTTGTGACGTGTATGACGTCAATTCCTTAATCCTATTATAGCGCCCAGGTGCGAGTTCCCATGAAAGAGTTGAAAAAAAAATCCCAATCCTAATTTAGCCAAATGTTACTAGGAATTTCTCCTTGCAATAGGAAAACTACAGTATATATAAATTAATCTAAGGCTTGAAAAACTTCGATTGACAGTCCTTAATTTAAGGCTTATTTCGCAGAGAAGATTTTTACTATCGAACAAGATATAATTCTTTAAAATATGCGAGAAACCTGCATAAGCTTAGTCTTTTAGTACTCAAGATATGTATGCATGGAGGAACGTTTACATGTTACCACTCTTCATGAAATTATACCATGTATTCTGGTCGCTAATAATTCAGTAATCTTTAATTGGAGGACTGTGTCTAGGACCCCTGCCATTTAGCAGCTTTTATTTTTCCTGAGGGTGTCACCCTGCGGAAGGGTGTCTGTGAGCAGGCTATATTTAAGTTGGTGGAAAGAACATCATATTGAAAACGAATCTTCGTTTTTTATACAATTTTTGCGCTAAAGGAACTGGCAGGGCCAAGTACACAAAGTGACTGCTGTTCTACTCTTGAACAGCTATATTTGGAAGGAAACTCTAGCAAAACTAACAACAAAGGTCGTAGGTTCGATTCCCACCGTGGCCAGGCAAATTTTTAAGCTTGCCCGGTGTGGATATACACTCAGAGTAACATCGCAAGCATCATATTCACCTGAGTACATTACACTAACACAGAAAAAAAGTCAGAATTAATCCCATTATCAATTGACTAGCTAGGAAAACTACCACTATATGTACTTCATAGTTCAGACACGGACATGCATGCGATTCAGTTATTTGAACTTCAGTCAACCAGATGTTTCAGTGGAGTTTAACAGAAAATTGTTTTGTAAAGAACTGGGTCATTACTCCTTTTGCCAAACCAAATTCTCACCTAGGAACATATGGTTCATAATATGCCCACTATATTTAATTATTTTTGTATTTGGTATTGTTCCTTTCTCGATCGTTAAAATATTTTTATACAAAAATGTATACAAGTAGAAAAAAGTTCAAAATAAGTGCGCTAATTACTCATATAGTCTTTGTTTGAAAGAGTGCACGCGCCGAAAGTATTAGCTTAATGAGCTTGTTATCGTCAAATGATTACATTCTTACACAAAAAGGCAAAATATTTTTATGGAATACAATACAAGTCAAAACAAATTTCAAGAGGAATTTATAGTTTTACTGGTCCAAATTTTGATCAGAACTGTCTTATCCACAAATGGATGTGTACCTTATTCGAACGACTTAATTTAAGCAGTGGGATTACCACATACCGCTCATCCAACTGTCTGTTGATGTATTTCAATAATCAGTTAATATGCACTGTACGGATTATGGTACCGTATATATAGGAACGACTTACAATTGTACCCGCATTTCAACATTTAATAGCAGTCTTACGAAAGTTATGGATATGCTGGAAGTTTCTGACTTTACAAGTTTGTCTTGAAAATCATTGAGAATAAAAGTGATCTGAGAAACCTTACTAAGCCTAGCGTGATAACAAACAGCTGCGGTGTGAAAGGACACACAACTAACTGAAAAGCAGAACTTCGTCGTTCTTCTAACTTCCCGACGACAGGCCTTCGCTCGAAATGTCCAAATCAGTCTGCTTTGACTGCTAGTATATTTTCCAAGTAGTTGTATATCCTTTCACAGCTGGCTGTTTTCGTCTCTACCTGGCCGGCTACACGCCAACTGACAGTTCTAGCGTGATAGTGGAAATACAATTAGTTTTACAGGTTTATCATATGGTAATTATCTCTAGTTTGAAACTAAAAAGTCTGAAAAGCAAAATCAGTCGCCTTCGCCAACCCGACTGAGCCGCAAACTCGAAACACATATTCTGACTTGAGCGGTTGCATGGAATCTTGGTGCTTATGCCTTTTGTTGCCAGCGGTAGAGCTCTCCCGGCCTGTGTGACATTTAAACACGTGGGCGCACCGCGGCATCGGCGATAAATGCGCGATAATAGAAAAAAAAAATAGCTGGACTGAAGCGCATAGTCCGTTTGTCCTTTTTCTTGTTTAGCAGAAAATTCGGCAAAACTAAAACCACATAAACTTGCCTGTTGAAATCCTTTTTCCAAAAACAGTATATAAAGTTTATTACCATTTAGCACTGGGATAAGAATAGCTCACAATTTAACAGTGCCAGTGGTACCATCTAGATATTACCATGGCATGCTGAGAAGGCACAAATGTTACAAAACGTTATATTCCTAAAAAAATACCCCTAGCCCTATAGACATACTATTGTGGAGACAACATTCACTATTAAACAAATCCCACTATAGCGGCAAATTTGAGATTTAAACGCGACATATAAAAAGATGATCCCTAACACCTAATGACACGTTTTGAACAGTGCCTCAACAACTCAAATGAAAATATTTCCGCTGTTATGAGTTGATGTAAAAGCACTTGGTTAACGGCGAACGTGATTATATCGCTCATGCACATCGCTCACATGACTTCAGTTCTAAAAGATAATACCTATGAACACTTGTGTTTTTACTTCAACAAAAAAGCATAGTTATTGTACCTGATCTGTCGTATGAATTCCATTGCTGAAATTCTCTCGCTTCGCTTGACCCTTGCGGACTTTCTTCGCTCGTTCTCAATGAGCAGCCATTTGCCATCACTGGTTCGTCTATTTTGAGTTGTCTGTAGAGAGCAATACGAGCAGCAGTGATGCGTTGTCTTTCTGAAACCAGTTCACATTTTGAACACGAGCAATCTCTCCATACACACTGATGTTTATGACCACGGAGATCAGAAAGCACACCATGATTTCGGCACCTCGTACACTTGGGCGTACGTGTACCTTGTGTAATCTGTGCTGACTCAAATTCACTCATATCGTGCTGACAGCGAATGAAGAAACGAGCGAGTGTATAAAACGACTTCTGTACAGCTGGAGAGACTTTGATGTTATTTCTAAGCAAGTGTGCGTACTAATGTAAGTAATGTTCAAATAACCCGCGACAAGCACAATGCTGATGATGACATCACAGCATAACGAAGGAATTTTTCTTTGTTTAGAATGTCCAAAATTTGAATATTTAGCATAACATTATCACACGTAATGTATCAAGTGTCTTGCGGTTTGCAAATACTGAGAACATAACACCGTTATTTCACCAGGTGAGATGACATGGCTGGGTGGGTTCTACAAATTCTCCGGATATAGACATGTTCCGCTTTAGTGTCAAGCCTAGTTTTTGATTCATTACAGGCCTGAATTCATTCAAAGTGTTTTTCGAAATTAATTTATGTAATATTCGCTAGAAGCCCAGAAATCAATGGAAGTAAACACCACAGTGTTTCAAGGGGAATTCTGAACATTCTTTTTGCAGACTATGATCATAGTTAATATAATATTAACTATGCTATGATCAAGTTCCTCTATATTGACAGAAACACAAGAGTTCATGTGGTCAACACAAAAATAACCCAGAATCAACCGCAAATTGAATATGTAAATTCAGCAGTTGGATTTCTAAAAAAATAACTATACAGGGTGTCCCAAAAAAAACGAAAACTATTGAAATCACCAATAGGCAATAACAATTAATTGTTAGAATTTGAATGCCTTAGCACTCCGTTGGTTCCCACGAGTGCATAAATGATTGACATAAGTAAATGTTATGCATAAAGAAACTGTTTAAGAAGCTGTTTTAAATTCCCAAGAGCAGAAAATCGTGCGCTTTACAAGGGGATGTTTTTAACTAAATTTTAATACATGCACCTTGTCAATATTTTACGCATCATTACGTTCAGCTTTTTGGTAGGGCATTCAATTTTAACAATAAGTGATTTCAATGGTTTTCGTTTTTTTTGGGACACCCTGTATATCTATCATGCAAATCAACTTTAAGCATTTTTCATACGCGCGAAGTTTAAATAAAATTTAGAACAACTTAAACTTTTCCCTGCGTACACGCTCGTTTGTGAGCAGCCTTAAAAAGCGCGTTTTTCACTTTAAACTCTAAATATATTGATAGTATAGACTGACTAAAGGCCACTAAACCGTAAATATAATTGTGTTCTTTTTGTTTCCTCCAGCAGCAATTGTTAGAATGGGAATATCCTAGCAATGACGTCAGTGCATGTCAAAGTGCCAACGTACTTGCCTTATACTGAGTACTGTATAGGATAAGAATACAAAGCCAAGGTTCAGGGCTTTGAACAACTGGTGTAACATTCCTTTAATTGCAGTTTGCCGACTAGCACACAAGTTTTTTTTGACATTTTCGTTTGTTACTGATCTATACTAGTTTTGGCAGTGATGGATTTTTCCGAGCAAATTGAATGCGGCTGAGTGCCAGGGTATGCACTACGTATAGTCCTAGTAGATGATACAACTACCTGATCGTGAGGGGCCTAGTACAGCAAACCGAGATGGAACTTCGACGTTTTGGGTCTTACTTCAGATAGACTTGTTTCATCGGCTACAAAAATTCACAGTTTATTTTCTGAGCTTGGTTGAAATGAATTTAACTTCAGCTGAGCTGAACTCTGACACTTTTTATGTTTTTCCAGTAGTTGAAAGTATGAACACTATTCACGAGCTTGAATGAAGGATCTAACTGCTAGTTAGTTAGGTCACCTATAAACTAGTAGCAGTTAGATCCTTCAATCAAGCTTGTGAATAGTGTTCATCGCTACAACCCTACGGCTTAATTTTTCGAACTTGAATTTTGAAAGACCAGCCATGTCGACAAAGAAAAGTTCTTTTGGGCGAACGTCGGAACGTGTATATACAGTGGAAATCGGGCTAGCTATACCGCCTATAGCTTTATAATCTATTATTGAGTGATCAGTTACGAGTTTTAACGTGGTCAAAGTTGACCGATTTTATGTCGGGAGGAAACAGGTAGCCAGGCCAGGTAGGGCAGCTCTAAAGTTCCTGTTTGGGACGCATCAATCATCATGCATTGTATTGGTTTCCGCGAAGGACTGTCTGTATTTGTGGAATACACTCATAGTTAATAATAATATCAGACTTCAATGATCTGTTTTTTTGCACTTCACTTGGTGGTATTAATATTTGAATGCTGTTCTTAGCATACCTAATTTTAGTGTGCAGTGATAACCAATTTGTGCAGTGATAAAACTAAAATGTGCAGTGATAAAATGTAAAATGTGCAGTGATAAAATTTGCTGTGATAAGTTGTTAACAATTAACACGAAAATCCAGGCAATGAGCAGAAGAACTGAGCTAAAAATTCGTCTTGACACTCCTTGACAGTATTAATCAAAACATTTTGAATGAGAACAATTTGAATGAAATTGAAATGATAGCTGCCAAATCATCGAACGTGCACTAATATTACACTTCAGGTTTATCAGATGAACAAAGTCTCGCACCAAAGGTTCCTTTATGAGTCTGGATGATAAAGTGAATGATACTTATCTTTTTGTAATTAGTGTGTAATCTTCAGAATTCTATAGAATGTCTTCGCACATTGCATAAAATCCCCTTTTAGAGAGCCTAGATTACAAAATTTTCTGTGGGTGCATGCCCTTGGAACTCCTCTAGAGGTTTGTCAGTCCTAAGCTGTCTAAGCTGCCTCTCATTTGCCAATACGAAAATATTTCTTTCTTGCAAGTATGTGATTATGAAACTATGCCGTCACAGATAGTTGAAACTATAGGTGCTGTCAAAGGGGGCAATTTTTCCTGGAGTCTTAGTTAAAGGAGGGCCGAAATAAAGAATTATGTAAAATATACATAGATATAACTGTCAAAAGACTTCCAGAATGCAGGATTTGACCATTTCTGGGACCTCAGATTTTAAAATTTTCCTGGGGAGAATGCCCCGGCCCCCCTAGTGATAGTGTTAGAAGATGGAATCATGTGGGGCACCAAGTCAAATTTGGCCCTGGGTACCCAAATATCCCTGGGCAACCCTACGTGTTGTGCAGTGTATGTTGGTTTTTGGCATTTTTTAATATCAATTGTAGCCTGTTTTGTGCATAGTAGTTACACATTGTGTGTGTTCAGAAATTTTCAGGGCGTGCTTCTGCTCGGCTAAACTTTGCGCAAAAATGTGCAGTGATAAAAAATTCTTAAAATTAGGTATGGTTCTTAGGGTTTGTAATCCAAGTGAGTATATATATACATTTTAAGACCTGACCAGGAACGACTGCGAAAAATGCAGCACAAGGTCCTCTGGTAGGAATTGAACCTACGGCCCTGCGATTCCGGTGCAGCGCTCTAACCAACTGAGCTACAGAGGCCAGCTGTTGAGCTGTAACCGTAAGTTCATGTATATATAGGTGATCGGGTGTGCGGGTTGTGATAAGGTGGACTTCAACATGTTTCATTGTTTCTGTATATATCAACATGTTTCATTGTTTCTGTATCTGTACAGTTCTGAGTACGTCCGAGATTGCTATAACCTTTGTCAGTAGGGAGGAAAACATGAATGTTAGAACATAATTCAACATACAATGCACATGCAGATTATATCTCAATAGAAATTCCGTGTTAATTCTCTGATACCAGGTCACATTAAGATTTTACATGGTAACCGCTAGGATGTTTTTTGAAAGAACTCAACCGTAAGCCATAAATTTTCAGTTGACAGGTATGATCACAGCATGTTTCCGTTCCTCTTCACACTACCTATAGACATACATAAAGATGAGTCATTTTCTATTTATAGATATACCTGTATATACCACCATCAAGTTAACCAAAATTTCATGATAACTGTTCACCGGAAAAGGTCAATATACCGAAACTTTTACAATCGCTATATTCTCAAAGCCAAACATTCGCCTGGTTACGAATATTTCGGAATATCGGTGGCATAGGCGTACCGGGCGGGGGGCAATATTGGATCAACAGTCGGGCAATTTCGGCTTGCAATAAAAAAAAATGTGACAAATTCTGTAAATTTTGTCTAAAATTAAGTCAATTTGTTGGCAAATTTTGAGATTTTTCGAAAATTTTGTGTATGTTCCGAAAAATTGGTTGTCCGGAAAATTTTTTTGACCCCTAAAATGGTACACTGACCGAAATGGTACACTGAAATAAGTCAAATAACTTTGCCCTAATTTTGCCCGCGTGAACGATAGGAAGAAGAGTCAGTTTCCCAGTTAAAAGCAATGGTTCAACTAGGTACAATTAGGTCCAAAATCTATGCCTCTTTCGAAACCTATTTAGTACTCAGTCAGTCAGAGTATCTTGATAACATGTCCCTATTTCAGACCAAAATGTTTTTAAAATCTACAACCCAATTTCCAACCAAAAACAAAGTTTTTTATGGGCGGTAATTAAAATTAGCCGATGATTATAATGTAATTTCCCGGTGGGGTAAATTACCCACGTATTTACCCATAATGCTTCGAGCGTATCAATAGTGATTTGTTCACGTGTTTCTTTCTTTTTCGTCTCAGCCATATTGAGAACATGGACAAACCAGTGAAACTAGCCAAGGTATTGCCTTTTCCCTCTACTTATCCTGCGTTTTTTGCGCTAATATTGCAATATAAATTAATGTAGATATATAGTGAACATGTAGAAAGCAAATTTGTATCGAATGGTTGTGTTTGGAAAAGAAAAGATTGCGGCTATATATCTGCATTTGAATAATATATTTTGTTGATGCCTAGCGATAAATGTATGTTATTTGGTTTGGCTTAATGTTATTTGGTAAAGATGGTACTAGTAACAATGAATAAACACTCACCTTTGATAAGTAACATCTGCCATAATGCCATTAAACAGAGTAAAATAATAAAGTAGGGTGCATCATGGTGCATTGCCACATTATTATTTATTATTTTTTCCATAATGGTTTATAAGAGACTGTTGACAATTAACACTTAGGCCCGGTTTAGACGGCGAACTTCTCATGCGCCGAATCTAATTCAAGAATTAAGTTTCCTATGGACAAATTTAGGCAATTTGGTTCAATAATTATTGTGACAACAGACGCCATTTTGGCACGCTGTATGAGCAGCCCGTAACAACCCGGAGAAAATAGGGTCGCACGGTCAATCGCGTTGAAAAAATAATAGGGTCGGTCGGGACCCGGAACCACAGGTATTTTTTATAGGCCTAGTTCATGAATTAAAAGTGTCTTCAGTAAATAAAATAGAGTTTATCAAAGAACGAGGCAGTTCTTTAGATAATTAATTTATGGGGGCAGGGTTTTTTTCAGGATTTTCTCTTGGGTCTGTTTTTGCAGAGAAGATTGAGTTTAGATGAACAGCTGGGGTGGCTGCACCCCAGGGCTGACACCTGTACTCAATGACACCTGACTTCAGACCCTCATGAATTCAGACTGGGATGAATGTAAACACAAATACATTTCAGACCGGTCTCAGCTGTAACCTTGACATTGGAACAGCACATGCGAATACAAGTCGTTTCGCCCCCAAGTCATTTCGCCCCCAAGTCGTTTCGCCCCCAGTTGTTTCGCCCCCAAGTCGATTCGCCCCAAGTCATTTCGCCCCCAAGTGGCTAAGTCGATTCGTCTCAACGTTTCGTTAAGAATAAACTGTAAAGAATAAACCATAGAAATAATAGATTTATCTATTATTATATACATAGGTGTACCGGGGGGGGGGGCGGTAGCTCGGGCAATATTCGATTAACAGTCGGGCAATTTTGGTTTGTTATAAAAATAAATCGGACAAATTCTGTCAATTTTTTCGAAAGTGTTTGTTTTTTTGAAAATTTATGTGATGCTCTGAAAAATTTTCGTATTTCCGGAAATTTTTTTTGACCCCTTAAATGGTACACTGACCGAAATTTTTTGGCGACCGGGGGGGGGGATTTTTGGTACTAGTCGGACACAATCACGAAAAGTCGGGCAATTTTACGAAAAGTCGGGCAATTTTCTTTCCGCCCCCCTAGTTTTTTCCTTCCGGTACGCCCATGATTATATATCCATATATCTATTATTTCTATTTGCAAGCTACCGTTACGCGTGCGATTTTTTTCATCAATGTTTACGTTTCAAACATTTTATATTGTCTGTTTCATTCCATAAATATTTGAAGGGTGAGTATAATACCGGGATTGAGTCATTTTTCTATTTATAATTTGATATTCTTTCATTTTGAAAGAATATTGTTTCGTTCGGCTATTGTCAAAAACTAATCACCGTCCCGGGAATTGTTTCGTTCATCCATTGTAAACTGAACTAATCATCGCGTTGATCACCGACTTTGTCAAACCTTTTCGCGCTTTTGCTTTCGTTTGAAATGCAGTTACGTTTTGTCAGTAATTCTGTCACTTTAATAGTGAATAGGTTTTTTATTTTTGCGCGTTTGCCGTTTGATCCATTTGTCCACGATACTCGCAAATATGGGCTAGCTTGTTAGTTTGTAACAGATAATTCACTAGCTCACTTGGGGGCGAAACGACTTGGGGCGAAACGACTTGGGGGCGAAACGACTGGGGGCGAAACGACTTGGGGGCGAAACGACCGGATTCCGCACATGCTAACAAAAGCCATCTAAAAAAAGAAAATTGCCTGGCAAGGGGAATAAATTGAAAATTTTATGATTTTCGTACCGGTCTCATGTGAACAATTTCAGTTTTCATTCTGGTTTGACTTTGTCTTGGTCTCATGTAAAAGGGGCCTTATTGTCTGGGACCAAGGGAAACATTTGTGGTCCCAGAGACTGCCAATGCTTCCAAGGCGAAGCCAAAAAAAACATTGGCAGGCATCAGGCTTGATTGTCGACCTAGCTCTAGGCTGGTAACTTTGTTAAGTGTGCACAGAATATTTTACTTGCCAAAATATTAATTTTATATATATATGCACACCTATATCCTATATGTCACATACATATGAGGCAAAGTGTGGACACTGCTATACAGCATGAGGTTGGTTGGGTGAGGTTGATTGGATTTTTTGGTGATAAAGTGATAAGTAGAAGAAATGTGTTCTTCACTGACAAATGTGGGTTGACAAGAAATGTAGTTCAGTATCATAGCTCTGTTTAAAAAATATAGCAAACTATTCGCTACTTTACTACAACAAAATACCCTGCTATCTACATTTACCTTGACGTCATTTATATTCATCCAATTTGTAATTTGAATGGCTAGAAAGCTTATTTAGACCTAAAACGGCAAAAACTGTATACATAGTACAGTATATCTAAATTAAACAGCATTCTCTACTTGTTAACATTGCTTATTGAAAATTTTGACACAAATTTGAGCAAAAGATAGGTATATCAATTATCAACCACTGACATAAACCTGACAAGCATGTGGATAATTTTTCAATACAAAGTATCTGTGAAGTTCATCTTCCTACACAGCTGCATCTTGAAGGATGGCCCATCTTTGTGTATAAACACAACCTCAGGCTAGCTATTGTAGAACTCAGCTAGCTGGCTAACTTATTGCACTATTATACAGTGTATATACCCTGCAATTTATAGTTTGAACTGCCACAATGGTTGCACTCTGCTATGAAAGAAATGAATGTTAATTTTTTCCATGCATTGCAATCCTTTATGCATGTATTTTTCCTATTCTAAATTTTCTTTTTACTTTTTAACTCTGGTATTAACACTTTCTCTCCATTACCCTACTCATTATTAGTGCAGAAAGTTAACCCATTAAGTGCCAGCACTCCCCTTGATGAGTAAAATCTTCTGGTGTTCAACAGAGTAAAATAATAAAGTAACAACTTAATGGGTTTAATGGATTAAGTAGGAATGTTTTGTTGCTCTCATTGACAATTCTTTCTTACCCTCCCTGTGTGGCATTATATACATCACAGTCACAAAACTCAAAGAAAAGGAGGCTCAGGTTTGAAACACAATTTAAATTCATAGGGTACAAAGTTGTTTTATGAACTGACAGACAATTTGAGCAGATAATTTGTTATACATTAAGTTTAATGTGTGACCTCTAAAACTTGGGCTTTTTTGCTGCCAGACAATTGTACTTGTCGAGGGGAGAGAGCTGCCCTTATTGGGTTAAATATTCATAATTCCCTGTTTTGACTTGAAACAGTTGTTGTAGTAGGTTATATCAAAGTTTCTGTGTGTCAACAGATCTTCCTCAGAACACAGGAAATGCCATTTCAGAGAGTCTATATTTCAAAATTTATACTCCCTCATGCTTCCCCGGATCCATCAACCAAAGCAATAAATCCTCCACCACCTATATGTAGTGGACACAATGCCAAGCTTCTCAGACCTTCGACAGGTTACTAAAGCTACCTTTACATGAACCCGGGCTGATTTTCAACCTACATTGAAAGACCTCATGGGAACCCGGGTTGGCTGCAACACTACGCATTTGTTTTCAACCTGGGTCAGCTTGAGCAAACCATGGTTGACATTCAATTGAGATGTACAGTTCTGAATTTGAACCTTTCACCATCAACCTTATTTAAGCCAAATTTATATAGTTGTCCTAAAGTGACTTTAGTTTCACATTTACCATCAATGTGCATCTACATTTATGTACCATTTTCACTTTACATTAGCCCAGGTCAAAGCCAACCCGGGTTTATATGAAGAAATAAGCACAATCGGTTCATGCACCTTGTCAGGGGACACGTTTTGTCCATTAAACGTAAATTGGGAAAGTTTTTTTGACCGATCAAAGTCCTTGTGTATGAATAAATAGTGTTTTTTTCCAACGTGTTTCTCCTTAGATGCAAACAACGGCAGCTTGGTTTTGTACATTTCATTTCCGGTGAATGAACACTGAAAAATGCACCCGATGGCACTTCGTTTTGTATATTTCATTTCTGGTCAATGAACATGGATGCACACCGATTACACATTTCATGTCAGTGAATACACACCCAATATGAATGAAACGCGATACATTTTGAGAAAATAGTTAATGGGAAAAAGTAAATAAAACGTTCTCTGATATAATAATATAAAATCAAATGCAAATGCACTTTCTCATCAGAAAAAATAAAAATCTTCCAGTAGACCCAGTTGGGAAAGCCCCTTAGCTACTTCAATTGGGAAGAGTCTGTCAAACGGACAGTATGTAGGCTACCTAACACCCTGCTTGCCAACCTGGGTGTAGAAATTTAGTAGACCAGTTGACCTGGGATGGCAAGCCAACCCGGGCTTGTGTAAAGGCCACCTAACTTTCATTTTTGAAAGGCCCCAAATTTAATCGCTTGGAATCTGTTTCTCATCAAGGAAGAGCCCTGGTGCTAAGTGGGTTAATATACTCTCTTCCTAATTGAACAAATGACTATTGAACTGAATAAAACGAAACAAAACAGACTATAATTGAACAAAGTGTGTATAACTGAACATATCAATTAATATTAAAAAAACCAGTTGGGTATTTATTACCCATATTCATCTATTGTTTAATGATCACATTTCAACACCTGATGTTTATGATAACCATACATGTAGAAATATGTATACAATTTATGAGTTATAATTAAAACCTGGTGACAGAATAGACTATTTCAGCATTTGGAACTGAATGATGATATTTTTTCAGGTTACCAAGGTTTTGGGAAGAACAGGATCACAAGGTCAAGCAACCCAGGTATGATTAATTTGCCTAATGACATTTCGATTAAATTTAGTGCGATAATCAAGGGCTTTATAATGCTGTACAGGATTTTTATTGCTCTTGCCTTTATTTTAGTCACTCGTTTTTTTAAAATTGTGAAAGGGAAAGTCGTTTTATTTTCCTCGTAAGTCACTATTGAACCAATAGGTGTCATATCATGCAATAACTATTTTTACATTCCATCAATAAAGTCACAACTTGCACCCCCATACTGGGTCATCCATCGAGTTGACATAATGACGTTGATCGAGCCAATGAGAACTCGTTGTGGGCCCTTGCCATCATGGGCCCCTAAAATCAAAACATTGAAATTTTTTCAAACATTGAGATTTTAATTTTCAAAATCAAGATTATAAGACATTACAGTTTCTTTATTGTAAAAATCAAAATTAACGAAAATATTACGGAAGAATTTTCGTATATTGGACCGAAAAGTTAAGATATGCCCGGAAAAAATTTAATATTTCCGGAAAATTGATGATTTTGCATTTGTATATCCAGAAAAAACATTGAGCCATCGTTCACTGCGCCTGGGCCCCATCAGACATTGCTCATTCGTCGTCTTTTTTAAGACCCCAGCACGTCCCTGCATTGGCCAGTTTCCACACAAATCATGAATATAGATTATTGCATGCAGATCACGTCAAGGCCAGATATTGAGAATTATCTGGGGATTATTGACCAATCACAAACGAGAATAAAATTTGAATATATAATAATAAAGGACGGACCATTGGGAAAGTGAAGGGAGGAGTAAGTAAATGACCAAAAAAATGCATATAAGCAAAAGCTTGAAAAAATCCATATAGCCAGAATATATGGATTTATGGCAGAAAAAAAATCACAACACAAAAAAAACTGCAGAAACCCCCTCCTCACATGCACACACACACACCCTTCACTTTTCTTATGGTCCGCTCCTAAATAAAGATTATAATAGCATCATCCAGGGATAAAGCAGATTTTAAATATGGAGTACTTTTTCACATGCAGTCTTCTTTATAACATGGAGTCATCTTCTTTTTCACATCAGTCGTACATTTGTCAAACTTCAGGTCCGTGTAGAATTTATTGATGACTCTAATCGGTCCATTATCCGGAATGTGAAAGGACCAGTAAGAGAAGGAGATGTATTAACGTTACTGGAATCTGAAAGAGAAGCTAGGAGGCTTCGATAGAGTAAGTTCCCTTTTTGTTAAACTTTTTTTCCAACTGTGGCTGTTATCATTCTTTGCATTAAAAGTAGTGATTGACTGATCATGCCACCAGACCTAAAAATTATTCTGTGGTCCCAGTTTATATCGTGAAAAAGCTCGGACATTTGTAAATTTTTTTGCGTCACAGTAGTTAGCAATGGCCATGAATTTGATCAGATAGCGTCGCCACAATACATGCAATTTTGGCGTCACATTGTATCATACATAAAGCGAGCAACAAAAAAGATAGGGTCGTTTGGCAACGTAAAAATTAGGATCAGCAGAAAATTAAAAGCATCGGTCGGAACCACGACATATTTTTTGTTATGGCCCAATTGGAAATTGTTGATTACCAATAGGCAATTCCAGCTTTTAGTTTAGGGGACGATGGGAAGTAAGGTATCAGTGCGTATCACATTGCTGATTATGCTATAAGAATAGAAATGGTGGCCGTGTAAACACGGAGTGATAGCTTATACTTGTAAATATTGAAATATTTCGGTTGTTTCGGTAGTTTTTAGTGAAATTTTTCAGCATAATCAGCACTATGATACCTTACTTCCCATCATCCCCTGCAGGCATAAACTAAAAGCTGGAATTGTCTATTAGTAGTAGTAGTAATCTTTATTGAGGAAAACTTTTTCATTACACATAATGATTTTCAATTGGGCCCATCATCGGGTTGTCCTGATTCCAATTAAAATTAGTCCAACGACGTCATTCATTTTGCACCTAAATTGGCATAACTAACAACGTGAAAGAGCATCCTTGGCCAAAAACTAGTAAAAAAATAAGAAATAACGAACTTTCTCATCTAACCTGCCATCTTGGATGATGCAGTAAAAGACGCTGTATTATTATAATTAAGGGGCATTTCTATGCGAAGTGGAGTCTGAAACTAACTGAAATGATAAGGAAAACATCAAGAGTTTCTTAATTTTGTAATCGATGCAACATCACGTACGTTTCTAAACAGTTGACAGGTCTAAAAGCACGACGCTACACCTACATACACAAGACGCCAGTCCAAAAATGCAGTATATATACGTTGAATTTAAAATGTATATAATAACGTTAAGAATTCAAGCGCTTTCATTGGTCGAGAGCTATATGATCTATTAAAGGTCAGACGCACGGAATTACGTCACACAAAACCTTATCCAATAGCATTCCCTTATTTGTATAGATCATGTACGCGTGATATTTGTAAAATTTCGAATTTTTCAAATTTCCGAATGTTTGGGTGGATAAAAGAAAGCTATTATCTGTTTAATTGGGGGGTTTTCTTTTTATTATATAAAACAAATAGATAAGATTTTGCCATTGTCTGTTCAGTTATAGATACACAATATGACATTTTTTGAGCCACTTTTTTGTTCTTCCCACATAACGTCGTACTGTGTGTCTATAACTGATCAGACAACGGCAAAATCTTATCTATTTGTTAAATGTCGTATGAAAAGATAACACACAAAGGTCTATAAATCTTAATTGCACTCATAGTTTTTTTAACTCCAATGGAAACGGAAGCAATTACTATAAAGAACCAAAATAGTATTTTTACTGTTTTTCCGCAACATCGATAAAATCGGTTTTAAAAAACACTGGCTTTTTTTTCTTTTTAGAGAAACAAGAATGCAGGTGTATTTGTCAGGCAAGAGATGTATTTATGAACTTGATAATTATGATCGAGATGCCTCCTTGCGAGACGTTTACGCATTATTAACTAAATAAATATATTCTTGTCCATTTGTTTAATTTGTTATCTGTTTTGCACACGACTTGTGATCACTGATCGTAGACTGAAAAGTCTGCTTGAAACGAATATAATTGTATAGTTTGAAGGCAGAGCTTCTCGGCTTTAACTACATGTCTTAAAGCAAAGCGGAGAACAGACGTTGGGAACGGCGTGCAAAACAAAAATACCTTTACCAATACCTTACACCTGCAACTAACCCCTATGCCACACGCAACTTCGACCCTAACAACTATAACATAATCGTCTCCAATAATCAAGAATTCTTCCAACAATCCTATTTCCCACGCACTGTCATTCTCTGGAACAATCTACCACCGAACATCAAAGCCGCCCATTCCCTACAGATCTTCAAGCACCATCTACAATCTTATTACAAAGCCAAACTGTTTACCTACATACCACCATAGTTAATCTTGTTCTATAATTCGTTGTACAGTATCCTATATGTTAAGTTCCATGTAATCTGTGATATGTTCGTGCATAATTGTCCTAGTACGTCTCGTTATCCATTAATTGTTAAGGGGTCGAATATCAATTGGAATTTAGTTTCTGTTTTCTTCTCCTGTCGCAGCATTCTCTAGTTATTGTTATTGTTATCTCTACGTAAATGTATATCTTTAATGTGTGTGACAAAATGAATAAATAAAAAAAATAAATTAAATAAATAAATGTCGCATTAAAACCTTTTCAGCAGTTTGCAATTTTATAAAAACAAAGCATTTGTATAAATATTATATAATGAATGTTGAGTATGATAGGTGTGCAAAATATTAATAAAGTTGAACGCAGGCCATGCCCACTAAGCTATAGCCCCCTTGGTCAACAACACTGGGCTATTTAGCCCACTTGGTCAAATGAATGCTTCACACGGTTAAAATTGCTTACCTATCTGCAGTTGGCTTTTATTAACCGGTCTCAAAAGAGCCAACGATCCACAAAGGCCCCAAGCTATAATGACTATAGGCACTTGCTGTATCCACCAATTGAGGTCGGGTCAAATAGAGTTAGGATTAAGACTAAACAGCGAGATATAGACACGTTATCCAAGTCATAAAATTTGAAATGAATTATTTGCGCACTGCAGAATGATCAAACTGGGCCGGTAGAGGAATCCCTGGCAAGAATTGAAAACGTGCATGGAATCTTAGCAACAATAAAACGTCTAAACCGGTCAATTAACTAAAAGTCGAGGAGGTTAAAATATTTCAGAATTACAATAAAATGTTATTACCATTTAATAAGTTAAATATAAATTCTTATTCATTTATTTAGTACATCTTTTTTACCATGCCATTCCCATAGAAATTGACCTGAAATCCAACATAACTTATCAATTAAAAAATTTGCTACTAAATGTATAGATTGATATTTAATATTTTGTCTGCCATCTGCAGTATCGGTATCTTGGCGAAACGAACTGTTTTTGTTAAGCCTGTTTTCCGTTTAGTCATACTGAAACGTAATGAACTTCTCTGGTTTTTGAACTCTCAATCGAAAACTAAGAAAATGCTTACGTAGACGAAGCCAGTTTTCCTGCAACTCGCAACGAAATTTCTTATCTCCAAATTATGTAAAAAGCATTCGTGGTGAATCGTCTATTTATTGTCAAGTCACTTTTCGTACTTGCCAATTACGTTTCCAAGTTCGAAAATTGGGCGTGAACTTCGCAACGAAGTTCGCAATGTTTGAACTTCGTTTGTAAACAAATGTTCAATAACTCGATGATAATAATAACCAATTTGAAATACAAACTTTCTTTGGAGACCAACCAAGAACTTTCAAATGAATTGTTAATTTCAACTTGCACTGTGAACATTTGTTACAATCATGGAAGTTCAAACAGTGAAATGAACTTGCGAACTTTTTTGCGAAGTTCATGCCCAAACTTGGAAATTTGCCATGTTCGCAACAAACTTAAGCCCTGGGCAAACTAGGAAACATTGTTGTGGAAACATTTGTGATTCTCGATGTTTCCTCAAATGTTTCCCTGTTTGCCCACCCGTGGAAACATTGTTGCGGAAACAAAATTTGCTTCCCGAGAAGCAAAAATGTTTCCTAGCAAATACAGAAACATTTGATGTTTCCCTATGTTTCTCACTAATGTTTCATAGTGTTTGGCCACTCTGGGAAACATGGGGAAACATTGGTAGGAAAGAATGTTTCCGCAACAATGTTTTCTAGTTTGCCCAGGGCTTTAGGAAATGCGCGTTGAAAAGTGACCTGAGGTCCAAATGGGGGCCATGTTCACCATTTTTATGTAAGTACTGCATGTTAACATGGCTCTGTGTAAGAAAGCAGAAGAGTTGCCTTACTCAAAGTGACAAAATGAAATAGCACTACACACCAGGGGTGGTTGTATACGAATGCCATATAGCACTACCCACCGGATAGTGATTTTTTCAACCGTTGTAAAAAGTCTACGGAGATCGAACTTGCAGTTAAAAATAGAATGAAACTTTATTTTAATAGACCTTATGCATAATGACGTCACAAGGCTTGATGCCCGCGAGGAATGCTGGGGTTAGTAGTCAGCGCCCAAGAAAATTAAACAATTAAAAATGGCCAGTATCGAAATTTTCCTGGGCGATGACTACGAAGACCAGCATTCCTCGCGGGCATCAAGCCTTGTGACGTCATTATGCATACGGTCTATTTAATCAATGTATAGGTAGAATTTCAGACGGCCCCGTATGAAATTCTAGAAGGCTTATGAACGGGTAGTTTTTAGAAAGTTTGAGAGGATCACTATCACGTGGATACCGCTATCCTGGCTTTCGTACAACCAGTCCCTGGTGAGAAACTCTTATTTTTGAATGACAACTTTGGCATTTAATACCATTTATTGACTCTAAGGTCAGAAAGGAAACCATGTTGATGAATGTTGATGTTGTTACTCATCAGTAATTAGATCATACGTGGACGTTTCAAGCGACGGTCATTCGTAAGTATAGTTCGTCCTACTAATTTCCAGTTACAATGACAGCCGTGGCTTGAAACGCCTTTTTTCTTTTCAAGCTGGCGAGGATTGAAATCCACAGTTTCATTATTTAAAGCCTGCTGCACACGAGAGAAGCTTGCTGAGCTACTTAATAATACCTCTTGAGATGCTTGAGACCCTGAGGAAAATATCTATCGGATCGTCTTTGCGAAAAAAATGTTGCGAGCTCAGTGCTGAGCTGCTTGAATTGACCATTTGCGTAATAGACTAAGTTTTGATCTCAACAAGTCTAGACAAAAATTTCATCACAGCTTGAAAGAGCATCACAGAATTAGTAATTTTCCAAAGTTTTGTTGCAAAATGTTGTAAAATGCGGATAATATAGCCTTGCGAAGTTTGCAATTTTCAGTCATTTTGTATTACAAACGGGAAATTGACAGCCCCAAAGGGTATTGGGCTGTCAATTTCCCGTTTGTAATCTAAAATGACTGAAAATTGCAAACTTCGCAAGGCTATATTTTCCGCATTTTACAACATTTCGCAACGAAACTTTGGAATATTACTAATTTTTTGATGCTCTTTCAAGCTGTGATGAAATTTTTGTTGAGATCAAAATTTAGTCTATTACGCAAGTGGTCAATTAACTGGCAAATGAGAACCCATAGTTTCTTCACGTGACTTTGGTCAAAATGGCGATAATGGAGGGAATGCAAACGATCTTATCAACGATATTCCTGTTGAGTATAGTTTCCCAACGTGTGTGGTGAAAATTCATAGCTGAGTTAGCTGCCACACGAGGCGGTTAGCTCTGCAAGTTTCTCATGTGCGGCAGGTTTAAGCCTGCAACAGACAAACAAGTTGTCTGTAATGCCAAGTTGTATTTGCTAATTACACCTGTACGTAAAACAGATTTTCTATCACTACTACTTATGACAAATGTTCAGTGTTCTGGCAGCTATGGTTATTGTAGCTACTAAAACCGCCGAACAAATTTTCTTTTTTGTCTTTTGACCCATACAGACGAGCAAAACGCGCGTACTTGCTAATTTTTTTTACCAACGGCTACATAACTCTCGTCTACCTTAAAAATGATATATTTATAAAAAACATTTCCAGCAAGGGCCCATCGTCTGGGCCCAGTTGTACGAAGGGTGGATAGCCGGGTATATATAGTGATTTTATGAACCGTTTAAAAATGCTTGAAAAGCTATGAAACTATGGATATATGGACGTCACAAATACAGTTGATTTCACGAAAGTTTGGCCACGCCAGTTGCGAGATGGTTGGGAATTTGGGAGCTATAAACACAAGATGATCAAGTTAATTGGAAACCGGCCAATCAAATTCGGAAGTTTCGCATCAAATTATCGAAATTCGTTATGAAATTCCGAACCAAGTTCGCAAGCAAGTTCGCAAATTGCAAACGATTTTGACGGTAAATTTTAAAAACTAAACTTATTCATTTAACAATAAATAATATAATAATAATAATAATTTCAAGTTTAAAATTATAATAAGTTTAATACAATAAGTTTAGTTTTTAAAATTTACCGTCAAAATCGTTTGCAATTTGCGAACTTGCTTGCGAACTTGGTTCGGCATTTCATAACGAATTTCGATAATTTGATGCGAAACTTTCGAATTTGATTGGCCGGTTTCCAATCAACTTGATGATCCGTGTTTATAGTTCCCAAATTCCCAACCAACCTCGCAATTGGCGTGGCCAACGTTTCGTGAAATCAACTGTAATAAAACGAAACTTTGATATCTAAATACTAAAGAGTAAAGTTTAATCTGGGTACCGGCCTTCGTACAACCCAGGCCCTGGTGTGTAGGCAGACAACCGTATTCCCCCAATGAGCAATTTCGTCAACCAGTTTCTCATGGAAATAGGCCTTTGCTTGAAATGTTGTTTTTTATTTCACAGTTACATAAAGCAATGATTATCTCATGTAAAAACTCCCATGCAGTCATAAAGTGGGATTTGCTTGAACTCGGGCGATTATCTAGGATAGGCCATCTCGCTCTAATTGCCGTTTTAAGGTGAAGAAACATATACCAGCAACAAAATTGCAGCCTTCCGCAACTAATAACCTGTTTTCAAGAAATGTGTACGGGCGTTGTCTCCGGCCTCATGTTTAGTAAAACTCATGCGCGAACATTTCTTAAATTAAGTTGCTGATTTCAGATCACTTTTTAGATCGCGAATCCTAAGTTTGTTGTGTACGTGAATATTCCCAATGACGTTTCTAAATTTGCAATATGGCGTGGAACTTGCAAAGCCAACTTCACAAGTTGCTTACTCAAGTGCTGAAGTACTCAACTAAAGTACTGAAGTACTGAACATAAGCTCGTAATTTGCAGTGTTTTACTAATATAGCCAACAAATTTGACAATTTAATTATTTTAATTAAAAAGCTTTTAAGAAATATGTTTAATTCGTTGGCTGTAATGGTACACTGCAAATTACGAGTTTACGTTCAGTACTTCGGTACTCTAGTTGAGTATATTTCGGCACTTTAGTATTAAAGCAACTTGCGAAGTTGGCTGTGCAAGTTCCACGCCCAATGGACCTATTCCCTAATGAACAAAATTTTGATCTAGACAAAAATTTCATCACAGCTCGAAAGAGCATCACAAAATTAGTAATATTCCGAAGTTTCGTTGTGAAATGTTGTAAAATGCGGAAAATATATAGCCCTGCGAAGTTTGCAGTTTTTCAGTCATTTTGTATTACGCGCGGGAAATTGATACATTTTTTCAGAAAGTGATATCAATTTCCCGTGCGTAATACAAAATGACTGAAAAACGCAAACTTCGCAGGGCTATATTATCCACATTTTACAAAATTTCGCAACAAAACTTCGGAATATTACTAATTTTGTGATAGACTTGTCTAGATCAAAATTTTGTTCATTAGGGAATAGGTCCATTTAGAAATGAACTTAGGAATATTTAAAACAAACTTGAAAACGCGCTTTGAAAGTGACCTGAAATCGACACTGAGTCGGATTCCACTACGCGAATTTGTTCGCGCGAAGCGCTTTGCAAAAGCGATGTCGACAAAGGAAACAGTAGCTTAGTGGAAAACGGGCTTTAATTCTCATTCTGTTAGCTTGAGTACAATATCTGAGAACTTGGATGCATGACTAGTTAGATCAAGATCATGAAATGCAATAATGATGACAAGAACGACATAGGCTATCCTTATACATAGATTTATACAAACATTTTCTCGGACGAAGATTGAGTTTTAGTACGAGACATTCAGACAGCACTTTTGAGCAAAAATATAATCGTTTTAAAACAAGTTTTTAATGGAGATGGAAATGAATATACAACGCCAACGATCAATTACTTTCTTCCATTTACAATGAATTGTTCACATTTGCCACAATTTCTTCAAAGTATAACTGTGTGAAAAATTTAAATACGGAGAAAGATTGGGTTTGAAGACTGAGATTTTACTACCATATACCGATAGCAGAAAAGTGTTTGTATAAATCCCTGCTTAAACAGCGCAAGTTATAGCAAATCCCCCACAAAGTTACTTCATAAATATTTGTCTATCATGTCCTACATTAAATTCACCTTTTTCATAATTTTCTTTGATTCGTAAACCATTCATCTAGTTGTGTTTCATCTTTTTGTTCCTCCTTCGCTTCTGCTTGAGGTTCATCATTAACAACAGCAATAGATGGCGTTGACGTTTTCGAACTCGTACTTCGTTTTTGTAACCCTTTTACGGACAGTCTGTTAGGTTGATCCTGAACTTCCTCATCACTTGATTCAGTTTCAACACTCGACGCCGAACTTACTCCGCCGAACGAGTACCCACGCCCGCATTTTACAGCTTTCTCCTTCTTAAGGTTCAAAAACCAGTCACGTATAGTTTGTATAGCTACTTCTTCCTCAATCGACCGTTCAAGTTCCTCACGAGCCAGCAAATCCTCAAGCTGTAAACTTCGAGATATATCGTCAATTGATCGGTAAGCCAGAATTTCCAACAAGTCGTGGAAAGACACTTCACGTCCACCTCGAAACTTTTCAATCTCCAAGCAAATATGTTTAAATAGGAACGTGGAAGGATCCACCCCAAGTCTTCCCCGTAACAAACGTAAAATTAATCTAGCTTGACGAACTGTTATTAATCCTTTACGATTTTGATCAACGAGATTCCAAGTCAACTGATACTGATATAAATCTTGATGACTCAAAGCTGCGTCCTCTTCACTCGAGTAGAACAAAGAGAAGTTCTCAATAATCACCGCAATCAGTAAATTTAATAAAACAAACGTTAAGATCACGTAGAATGATATAAAGTAACAATGTGATCCAACATAACTCCCACAATCAGATTTCCAGTAATTCTCAAATTCAGTTGCCTCGGTACAGTAAGGTTCTTGTATCCCACAATCTTGCATTATTTTATTCCAATCTTCGCCAGTTGTTATCCTGAATAACGTTATCATTGCATTAATACTGCCTTCAAAGTTTGCATCGCGGTTTATAGCGACGCCATGTTTCACAGTACCAAACACAATGACCCCAACCATTGCGTATGACATTATGATTAATAACAAGACGAATATAATATAGAAACTCTTGACTAAACTCATAGAGACTGTCATCATTAACATCTTTAACGTATCGTGTTTGCCAGATAGACTGAGGAACCGAAACAAGATTATCCCAACACCTAACCAAACCGTCCCGTTGTAGGTTTTGTCATGATCATGATTGTGAACGAAAGCAATATGAAGTATAATCCACACTACACCAACTAAAGTAAGAAAAAAGTCAAAACGGTTGCGATGACTTCTCCAATAACCCCTGAAAGTGTATGCAATAATCTTGAGAAAACATTCAATCACAAATAGAATAGTCAATACCACGGAAGTTAACATCAAAGACTTCGGAGTCGGAGAACCAGGCTCGACAATCCATGGTACAACCGCCAGAGTTGCACAGTTTAGAACAACCAGGATAACGTTCACTCGACCATAATGTGTAGATTGTAACAAGTCGTATAGTCTAGATCTAACAGGACTGTCATCAGGACGCAATGGGAGATGAAGAGGCTGAGCAAGCCGTAGTCTCTTTCTTAAATCTTCCCATCTTCTTTGATCAACAGTAAGTAGCGCTGTTCCTTTGTTCTCGTTAAAATTATTAACTATAACACCGACAAAGAGTGCCAGCCCGATCATGCAGGCAAGTAAAACGTAGCCATGAATATAAAAGCCATACAATGTTCCCAGATCCTTTTGATTTTCAATAACATTTCTTATATCTAGCCAACCCTCCAGCGAGAGTGCCTCGAATAAAGCCAACAATGCGCGAGACATATTGTCAAAGTTGAAATTTTTTGGATTATGCCACACCCTTGAAACCAACATTTCGTTTTCATCGCCGGCTAAGTCCCTCATTTCACGTGGCCCTTTCAGCGTTGTGAAGAACACTCCAGTGCACTCCTCCTCAGTTTTAATGTTCTCATCGTTACATCTCTTAAGTTTATTAGAAAACATCTGTACACCATAGCTTGCAAAGATGAACATCAATACTAATTGTAGAGCTGCAACCTTTAGGATTTCTTTGAACCCACCAATCAATTCCTGAATGACTTGCCTCATTTTTGGAATGAGGTTAATCACTCTCAGTGGTCTCAGGGCACGGAGAACCAGGAGTGCGTAAGCTGGTGAATTCCGTTGGATGAACGTCGGCGATACACAGATATAGATAAAGCCAATCAGATAAATAGATAAATCTATAACATCACCAAAGCTTCGTATAACGGCATTAGGCGTGAACAACAGCCCATCAGCGAGAACACGAATCAGCAACTCGAGACTTGTGGAAACAACGAAGAGATACTCAAAGAATTTAAGAACAGGATCATCGAATGTCCGTCGACTATGTGGTTTCTCAAACATCATTGCAACACAGGATGAAAATGTGATAAGAATAATAACCCATTCTAAATAGGTTTGAGTTGATAAAACTCTCTTGATAAAAGCATCATTAATCATGGGTCGTTTGGACTGAACCTCCCCATGATTCCCTGCGATCTCGTACCGAGCATGAACAATGCGTTGTAGCCATTGACGTAAAAGACTGTCACGTGATACAAGGAAAAGCGGGAAATCAAAGTAAGGATGGTTTTCGCGTAGAGATTCCTCGTGCGCAGCTTTTACTCTTTGTGCTTGTTCACGTCGGGCTCGCAACTCTTTTATGTTCCAGTCTTCGTTGTTTCGAGCTCCAGCTGTATTGTGAGGTAAAGTTGCAGTGCCTTGTCCACCTTGACTCTTCATTTGTCGCAGTGCATTCATGTCCGCTCTTTCTGATGTCTTGCGTGCACCTTGTGTTAACTTGGCCGCGTTCCGATTTATCTGCCGTGCTGTATAACCTAAGAGATATGACTTAGCTGTGTGCCTGCCCTGTGTTGCCGTGTGATCCGTAAGATTGCGTCTTCGCGTTGAATCTTGAATAAGTTGTGTTAGACTAGTTCTTTTCTTCAATCTTAGAGTGTGAACATCATCACGAACGGGAGAACTTAGTAATTTGAAGGGCATGTCCTTTCTTTGTGTCATTAATGCATCTTCATACACACTGGGGTTGGCTGTAAAACGGGACAATCGCATTCGTGAATCGTCCAAAAACCTTCTCATGAAACTCTGACGAACTTTAGGAACAGGAAAGTCACCAGAAGCCTTCCAGGTTTCCACTAACCTCGGACTTTCTTTAAACTTTCCAAATATTTGAAGTCGCTTGGGCAAACTTTCTTGAATATTCAAACCTTCTTCTCCCAATTTACGTTGTTTCAATATTTTTGTTTCTTCTTTAATTTCCAAATTATCAAGAATAACAGCAATGAAAACGCTGCCAAGGATAAGCGATGCAAAGAGGTTGTAGCTAGTAAAGTAAATACTGACAAATGGGGCTAATATTGGCGAGGACGCGTACTTTACTGTGTCTAGAACTTCAACCCAACCCTCTTGTGTAATAATTTGGAACATAGACTCGGACGATTTCAGATAGTCGTCAAAAGGCCCCGGATTGTCACTACCGAAATCCATGCCAGAAAACAACTGGAGACTTAGAATGGATGCAAAAACCAACAGAAACAACGTGAATATCACCACTGCACCGATCTTAGTTCCTGTTCCAAATGCTTTATGTAGGAAGGCGTTCAAACTAGGCACTGCGATGATTAGACGTGTCACACGTAAAACATGAAAAGCTACTAAAATGTCAATCTCTGCATATGCAACTGGTGCAATACACAGCGTGCTACCCACGGCCAAAAATAACTCGAAACGATAAACTGGGATTTTCCAGTAACTCTTTATGCCAACACACCAAATTTTAAAGCAGCTCTCAATGTCAAATATTACTGTAAACACTAGATGTAGATAACGGCGTATAGGCGGTTCTAAATAAGCTTGAAGTATAGCGTCTAAAGCCAGAAGTATCCAGATCATATAGCGGAAGTATTTAGAGGTGAGGAATCGTCTAGCACGATTAAAAGCCTTTGTTTTTGTCCATTCTTCCTTAATAGCGACCAAATGCCAACCCGTGCCGTCGTCTTGAATGATCTCGGAAGATAAGCCGGTTACCCGGCGATTAGTGCGCCAGTTTTTTAAATACAATTGCGATCGCAAGTCAGCGAATGTTTCCGTAATTACAGCAATGAAAACACTCTTGACAAGCCAAGCCACAAAGAATATCAGTGACACAAAATAAACCGCACTAACGTAATAATTCTGACTGTTCATTTGAGCGTACATCACAAGAACCCATCCCTCTTGTGTAGAACTTTCGTATACGGTCAAGAAACTGTACCAGATATTTTCAAAATAAGTCGTTCGTTGACGATCAGAGAGCTCTAAATTTCGACATTCAAAGCCCTTAGGACATAAATTTGTGCTATTAATATTCGCGTGGCTCTTTTCATGTCTACAGCGTATTTCTGGCAAATTGAAGTCTTTATAGTTAACGTTCGTAAGGTCAGTAATATTTTCTTTCACACAATAATAGCTATCCTCTCCGAAAAGCTGAACGCCAATTAACGAGGCAAGAATCATGAAATATACTAAAAATATCGTAACGTTTCTGATTTGTTTACCCGAGCGACGCCGTACCTGATTTAATAGAGAATAGTTCATGAAGAATTTCATGACTCGGATAAGAATAAACGAGCGGGGTGCCCGTGCTATAATTTTTAAATATTCTGGAACATGACCAGACAAAGACGGCCCTTCGATAATTTGCAACACTACGGACATTACAATAAATATCAACATCGCCAAGTTGAATAAATTGAAGCGATTTTTGAGAAATGCTCTCTCGCCTTTCCATAGGCCTAACATTTTCATATCCATGAGCGATTCAATAAAAAATAAAACTAAGACTAAAATATCTAGTGTTAGAGAGACATACCACAATTGTCTGTATTTTTCAAACGTCTTCTTAGTATTCATTCCGACTGAGATTGCACTCACCACGATTGATATTTGAATTAAACGTTTAAAATAAACACTTTTGACAAATTGAATACTCGGCAGTTCGTCATCATCGTGTTCGTCGTCTTCAGGACCGCTTGATTCAACAGCAGTGCTTGTTGGGATTTTAGAACTAGAAACATCACTTGCCAAGTCACTGCCATCACCCGCATCAGCCTCCATTTTGCTTTGTTTACTTGGCCCATATGAAGAGAGCATGTGCAGATGTTCTATGTTCAATTGTTCATTTCCTGTGGCGACATGACCAGGTTATATCTGGCGTTTAATCCTCATAGAATATACATATATTGCCCGCCAAACATTCACTCATTTACGCCATTTTACTGTCTATGTTTATAGTATACACTACATGTTATTTCAAAACAAGCGTTATAGTGTAATATTTGTTTTTATTCTAAAAATTTGACGGCCAACTGGGGGCTATCGACCGGTGCAACGGTGGACTTTTCTTATCTTGTATGTTCGTTCAACGATCTATAATGTTTAAGATAATATATGCTCTAAAGTGAAAAATATTAGTATATTGTATCTTTTAGAAGATTGTTGATAATACGAAATAAATTGAGTTGCAAGCTTTGTGAATTCGTAACAGATGGCCGAGCCGAATAATAGCACACAAAACTAACAAACGATATAAAAAATTCAGAGAGGGGCTCAATATGCAAATGATGAAATTATATCTCATGTCATCTATCACCTGCTAATGGCTGCCATATTATGTTCCTATTCTGTGATGTTACATCATCACTTTGAAACCTGCGTGGGTCCACGCAAAAAGCGCGCATTTGGCGCGTCAACAATCAATTCGATCCGTGTTTACATGTACACAACACAGTATATTCGAAGAGGAATGTGTTGTTGTGAATTTTGTTCATATTTGAAAAGAAAAGGTATTTGTGAGTGCTTGAAGCATCTGGTTTAACATATGGGTGTATTAAACACCCAAGATCGCGTTAAAAGAGCTGAATTGTTGAACTCTGTCATCGGTGATCAAGTAGCTGTTGAAACGTAAGCTATGATTTAACATATGTTTACAGTAATGCAATAACTTGGAAATTTTACACTTTAACTAGAATTTCAATTATTTTACTTTTTCTTATCTATTGAAATATGCTCTTTGACAATATGCTAGCTAACTGATAGCCTGTGACACAACCTGTGACATGTATACAGATTAACAGACCCAGATTTTGATTGATTTCAACTAGGGTCTACCATTATTACTATTGATATTTGATAATTATTTGCACATTCTTTATACTGGTGATTGTGCTCCAATCCCAGTCTGAAATTGAGAAATTCCCTTATTTCAGAAATGTAAATTCCACAGGAGAGTGAGGAGACCACAAAAGTGGTAAATAAGCTCCTCAAGTCTGCCTTTTGTCTGGTGTATTAAAAATACACAGAATTCAGGGTGTCTGCTTCTTCTCAGCCTGAAAAAATTAAAAAAAAACACTTCTTTTTGTTGTGAGGAATGTCTGTTCTCACGAGAATTACATTGAAATGTTGGGAAGTGTTTATATTTCATGCTGAGAAAAACTGAAAAACCAACAAACAGTGTGTGTTATATATTATATAAATTATATGGGCCTTATTGTGTATACAGTGACAAGTGGATGTGTCAATTTCATGGTTTGGTACATCTATATTTAAAGTACCACACATGTTTCACACAAATGGTTTTCAATTATTCTGAATAATCTGAAACCTTCCAAGGCAGCTTTTGTAAGGCATTTTTTACCTAAGAGCTTGAAAGTCTGACTGGGACTAATTTAAAAGTGCTGTATATAATTAATTACAACTTACCTCAATTATGGCTAATACAAACACAGATTCACAGAAGGTTCAATATAATAACCTACATTTTACTTTGTGTGCTTTGCACCCTTGCAATATGGCACTTGTTCATGTAGGAATTCTAAATGAAATTCAACTGAAACAAATGCATTAGAAGATGGACAATCTCAATAAAATAAAGTAATTTTGTGTTAGGTTGGCAACTTACAGTATGGAGCACTAAGATGCACCATTCACAAAATGTAAATTACTCTCACTGCTGGCAGGGCTGCAAAATTACCACTGAAAAAGGAATTAATTCCAATTACAATTACTTGTTTTAAAATGTAATTAAGTACAATGAAAAATTACTCCGGAAAAAAGGAATTAATTACAAATTTCTTTACCGGCAAATTGTTACTATATATATTATAAGACAATATCTTAAACAGTAGTTGTAAATAAAAATGGTATAAACTATGAAATTTACAAGAATTTATCAAGATGATATTTCAATATATTAAAACATTTGACATGCAAATCGAAGCATGTAAACTTAAAACTTTATTTGCCAATTTTTGGCACTCTGAGCCTCGGAACAAAATGTGGGTAATCGTTCCATGTTTCGCGCACCAATACAGTAAACGTTATGTAATGGATATTATAGTGTATTGAAAAGTTCACTAGATACCTCCATACACATATATACACACCCTAACCCCAACCCTAAACCTAACCCCAATACCTAACCCTAACCCTAACCTATATTGGTGCGCGAAACATGGAATGATAACCAAATTGTGTTTCGCAATAAATAGTACTACTTCATGTAAGCTATCATGTCATGTGATCCGTTGAAAATTAGTTCAGCCATTTTTCTGAATTTTTGTCGTAACGTTGTATTTTTTATTTCTTGTTTTTACAAAATAAGAAAAGGAATTTTCAATTTGCTCCTTGGAAAAGGAACACGTTTCTTGCTTTTGTAATTAATTACGTTTTTCGTAGGGATGAGCCAATAAGGAAAATTGCCGATTGCTGAGGCCGATTATTTATAAAATTATAAGCCGATTATTGTAACTAATCAGCTTAGTTTTTCGTTACATTTCTAAAAACGGAATTAATTACAGGTTAAAATTACTTCAAATGTAACGAGTACACAGTAACGTGTTACAATTCTAACGAGTATTTGCAGCCCTGACTGCTGGGAGCTCTGCAGCATCAGCTTCACATTTGTTTATCAAAAAATGCTTGCTTTACTATAAACATACTGTCATCACATAATCTAACTTCTGTCAAGTTACGGTGAGCAATGTTCAACAAAAATGTGCTCATCTAACCTGCATTACATATAATACCCTATTTCTATTGTGCGAGAAAACAAAATAACAGTAACTCCAGAAACTGGAGTACGTAGTATAAAACCTTGCCTACGTTGGTCGACTAATATCCTCTAGTTCAGACCTCTCGCTCAGTCACTAAATGAATAAAATATATGTATACATTTAATATATAATTATATTATTGGTTTTCTTTCTTTGTTAGAGAAAACCTATGGAGGAGAGAATTTTTTAACTATCCCAATCATATTTTTGTCTCTGTAGTTTGGAGACCAATGACCTTGGAACAAAAGAGCTTGGAGAAATTTTTTTACCCAGTTCCTAGCGTTACCTTTTGCCTTTGTAGTTTATATTAATTTAACATCAAACAATACTAGTTCTGCAAGTGTTATGTTGTATTATTGTTCACTCTGTAATAAGTTGAAAATGTTCTAGAGGGAGTATTTCATAATTTCCAGACCGTGCGCAAGCAGAAAGATATTGCCTGCCATGGCTGGGTTTTGAACCCGCAACCTTCGAATTACTAGACAGACGCTCTACCAACTGAGCTACACGGTCAGACAGACTTAAGACTGGAAATTATGAACTATATACTGAATGTCATAAACATGCTGGTTATAGTAACTAGCAATATAAAGTATAAGTATTACCTGTTTGTTTCAAAGTTGATATTATATATTTATAACAAATGTTTGTGCCATCCATATGTCACAGCTAGGATATCATTCTCATGCATCGATCGGCATTTATAAAAAAATATAACCCAACCTACCCTATTTTTTTGCCTTATATATAGTAAATTAGTTACATGTTGAATAAATAGTAATAAACTTGTAATTTAGTTTTATAATGATTATTAATCCTGAGGATGAATACAAAATACTGTTATATATTTTGTATTTTGTAATTTAGATCGACAGTTGAAGTTGACCAAGAAGTTGACATCAATGTGACAAATGATGGACAAAGATTAAGACATTCTCAGACATCTTTAAAAGCATCTCGAGCACCAAGACCTCAATCATACATTAGAAACACTGGTAGGAAGGCAAAGGGATGTGCCAACTCAAGAAAATATGAAAATGGTATTTTGTTATGCTGTGCTTGTCAGAATGTCAAAACGTACTATATTTTGACAGTGTTAACTTTGCATACTGGTATAGATATTTTTGTATCATCAAAATGAGTTTGAATTGCTCCTACATGATCAGATTAAACAAGAATTAATTTTGAGACTATGCGATCAAGACTAGTGTAGTTTGAAAAATGTATTTAATTAAAAATGGATTCACTCAGTAATCTGACCAGAACCGAAACTGAGTATAATTATACATGTTATGGTACTTTGACTTTGTATCGGATTTTCTGAACACACTTTTCATAAAGGGAATTATTGGCTGGAATGCCTCCAAACGGAAAGTAAATCTAACAGCGCTCTATAAAGAGTAATTTTCAACGTGAACATTCTAGGCCACACATATGCAATTGTAATTCGATGTGCACTATTCGTCATGTGACCCTTCAAAGAACAATAACATATCACATAGTTCCGCCCACTATCCAAACCATCTACATATCATTCTTCTACATCTTGTTTAATCCATTGAATGGCAACACTCTCCCCTTGATGAATAAAATTGTCTGGCATTAGACAGAGTAAAATAATAAAGTGTGCACTTCAGGGTGGTTTGTCACTTACACGGTTAAAACATGAATAGATCTTTGGACAAATATATTTTACTACATTGTATAATAAATATAAGAAACAATTTTGATTATGATTTGATCACCTTTATTTTAGCTGTCTTTCTTTCCCAGCTGATTGAAACGGAGGAGTTTTCTGATTTAAGCATAGCAGATTTTATGGTTAAGTCAACATCAGCTTTTGAAAAATTGTTTGAGGATCAGTCCCAAATGAATGTAAGTTGTGCAGGTTATCCTGTTAAGAAATTGACATTTCTGATTGGCTAAAAGCCATTGCCAGTAGAGGTGAGCCGATCATCGGCAAAACCGATTAATCGGCTTGTTTTTTCACAATCGGCCATCGGCCGATTGTCATTGGCCATCAGCCGATTGTCTTCCACCATTTGTATGGTCAGTGGTGTAATAAAAAAATGAAATTCAAATATTTGGTGTGGAAACAATTATCGAAACGAAAGTTGAAACACTATGTTTACCGATTTCCCGCGTTTTTTTCATAGTTGTTTTCTCACTTTTCTGGCATTTCTGCAAGGTTTACTAATTAAATTATCGTGTTCTGTAACTTCCGTTGACCAGTCAGTAGCACGCTGTGGATTTCAGAATCAGTGTTAAAAATGTCGCTTCCTGTTTCTGCATGTTTTGCGAGTCTTTTGACGAGAGGATACATTAGTAAAATAAAATTAAGATGACCATCGGTTTTGCCGATTAATTGGCCGATGGTGGGTAAATATCGGCTGTTAACAATTGGTATCGGTAATCGGTATCGGTAATTTTTAGATATCGGCTCACCTCTAATTGCCAGCATAATTGGCGACTTCAACGATACCTAATAATATTGCACAATAGATTGTACTGTTTATATCACTCTTGCCAAATGGCCTCGTTTTCATGTGATTATTTCCTTATGATTTGTGCACAGTAGGTTTACGAAATAAGGCTTGTGATTGGAAACAAGATCAAAGAGAAATATATTCATGTATGAAACATGGAGAGAAATATGTGTATGGGGATATAACTTTCGTGTGCGCCTGCCATGCTAAAACAGGCAAACATGAAAACAGTGCCAGCATAGGTAGAGAGGGGGAGGGGGGCTAGTGACAAAACACCTACCCATCTACATTTTTCGAACATGAAAACGAGGCCATTGGGGAAAAATTGCAATGAACACTAAACTATATCTATTGATATCAAAGCTCCAAATATTTGAAAGAAAAGAACATCGCATTGTGGAAATTCGGAACAATAGAGGCTACGTCGTTTTTACATTCTTTTAAGTAAAAGAATAGAACAATTATGGTAGGACTAGAACGCGATATTTGGCGAAGCTAAGGCAAATAAACGTGGGATGAGGCAGAATTTTGGAGGAGATTAAAAATTCCACAATCCCAGGGCAAAACGATAAAAAGTCCGCATTTTTTGCGTTATCTTTCTAGAAAATACTTTATTCCACATCACATCTTGGAAAAATTCGTCATTCTGTGAGCAGTAAACAAAAGTATATTTCCCTATAAAGTAAAAGAATTCTCTACTCCAAAATTCCGCCTCCCTAGAATAACACATGACAAGATATCTTAATCTTACTCTCAACCTAAAGTAAAATTGAAATAAGTATCACATTCCTGGTATGAGTGATATCAATCACTTAAATTATCTTATTTTACCAGAGATGGAGTGAATTTGTAAACCTAAATGGCGAAGACCAGGACAGATATCTGTGTGAGTTATCTCAAGTTGATTCTTTTGAAACTCCAGTTGCAAGTCGAAGTACTGGAACTAATTCAGGTATCATCTCATTGATGTTCAACGATTGATGTTAAAGATGACATAAAATACAAACCCCTTCCTGAAATAAAACGTCTAGGTGGAACGAAATTATCCAATGCTTCCATAATGAATCAGATCAACATTGAAGGCTTAAATAATATATCTGATCAAGAATTGACCACTTGCGTAATAAACTAAATTTTGATCTAGACAAAAATTTCATCACAGCTTGAAAGAGCATCACAAATTTAGTAATATTCCAGAGTTCCGTTGCGAAATGTTGTAAAATGCGGATAATATAGCCTTGTGAAGTTTGCAATTTTCAGTCATTTTAGATTACAAACGGGAAATTGACAGCCCAATACCCTTTGGGGCTGTCAATTTCCCGTTTGTAATCTAAAATGACTGAAAATTGCAAACTTCGCATGCAAGGCTACATTATCCACATTTTACAACATTTCGACACGAAACTTTGGAATACTACTAAATTTGTGATGCTCTTTCAACTTTCAAGCTGTGATGAAATTTTTGTCTAGACTTGTTTAGATCAAAATTTAGTCTATTACGCAAATGGTCAATTGGCAAGCATGATAAACAATGCTTTTCTTGACCACTGGCAGAATATCACCTATCGTCCCCATTAGAACGAGTTGCTTTGGAGGACCACCCTGAATATCTACAAGTTTCTGAAGAAAGAGTTTTTTCACACATAGCAAAACTTAATCCTGGAAAAAGTGCAGGTGTACGACGTGCCAAATGGACCTTTCCGGTAATTACGTCACGACTAGCACTGTTTTCAACTTAGGACCACCTTAAATGGAATGGATTTTAAGTTTGTTTCTCACGGGCTATGGTCAGAGGAGCAGAACATCCTTCTTCAACACATGCATAAAAAAGAATTTTGACTTTTGAGCAATAAATGTTAATAAATTTGTCAATTTAGCCCTTTGGCTGCTGTGTATTTTATTGAATATACTCGTACAGTAGCTCTACATGATTTTTGGAGTTATTTCCTTATACTATGGAAGGAGCGTCACTCCATGGCTTCCTAACTTCTGCAGCCATACTATATACTTACCTGCGTGATTTCAAACAGCTCCTTTTGCAGAACTACTGCAGCATACTGTACATCATGCATGCCATAAGCCTGCTTTAGTTTCGTTCTGATTTAGTTTTCACCCTGTTGGGCGATGACGTCGTCGTTGAGTACAGTCGAATCCCGATATGTCGAACCAGTGAGCCCTATGTATCCGGAACAAGAACTTCGTTCATTCGGCCTATGAGAAAATGAATGAATGTAACTTGATTGTACAGGGATAAGCGAAATAATCTCACTGATATTATGCCTCTTCGTCGTGAACTCATGTTACCGTTACTTTTCATTGTTTTAGATCTTCAGATTGCAGCAAAGAGTTTTCAAAATGTCGACAGTAAAATCAAGTCAACTTTGAAGGGCAGAAACATATCAATGGTAATCTTTGTTACTTTGAAATTCCGAAAGCAACTGGCTCCCTAGCGGCTGCCCGATCGTAATCCAGTACAATAGAAAGTGCAAGATTACGTTTGAGAGGCAACAGAACCGGCAGAACCATATTTTCTTGGCAGAATTTCCGTTTTCTTTCGTTTCTTCACATATATTGTCTTTCTAATGTCAAAAGAATCGTATTACTGTACATTTCTGTTTGAATACAACCAGTCTATTTTGTCGTTATTGTCGTACAACGTAAAATTTTTCGTCGCTTAGTGTTTGCCGTCAGATGTATCAAAGCCAAGCTTAAACTTCCTAATTGTCACATACAGAAGAACAGAAAACAAATGAAGATGTTTTCAAGACGATATGACTGTGTCTTGTCATCTTCCAGGGTTTTTTCAGGATTTTCTCTTTGGTCCGTTTTTTTCAGAGAAGATTGAGTTAAGCTGTACAGCTGAGGGTGTGGGGCAGCTGCGGGAGGCTGACACCTGTACCCAATGAGTGTATTTATTATTTAAAGCAGGCACTATAAACTGGTTAAAGATGGCGAATGCGTTATTTTTCTTGTGTTGTGAAATGAATCCCAGCCATTTTTTCTTGATTGTCGGGTTTCCAACTGAAAACTAATTTCCACACGTCACGAATTTGACTCAAACAACTTCATTTTTACTGCACTGAAACTTTAGTGCGAAGATTGAGTTTCAAAACTCAATTCAAGATTCAAAACTCAATTCAAGATTGAGTTTTTGGGGCCGTTTTACGGTCCTGAAAAATCCCTGAAAAAACCCTGATCTTCCCGTTCTGAATTAAACATTGCGTCATTGCCTAAGTTCGCTAATGTCGAAAAAAATTCAAATTTCTAATGGAGAGATTAGATAACGTTATGGAGATCTTAAACAATGCGCGCGTTCAAACGAGGCCAACATGTTGATCCAACATTGATGACCTCGTTTCAATTAAATTAAATTAAACATATTAGGTAATGTTGGCTGATTTTGGATGATGTTGGATCGGGTTTGACTTTGTTTAAAATTTTCATCCAACATTGTGCAACCGCCAACGTCGTTCAACATTGGTAGGTGTATACTAATTGAATTGAACGTTTCCTCCATTTAGTCTGGTTTAAAGTATTTTGAAGAAGAAATGTTGTCCGTTTTCAAAGACATCAATGAAGCTGTCCTTATTTCTCTAATTCCATCAAGGTAAATCATAACTCATAAGTCGTGTTTACACTACAATCGTAGACACTGGAACTCACTGGTAACCTTTCTCCAGATTCACTCGGCCCAGTCTTTCGCGCGATCTATATATTGTTGAGATCTCAGCTCGATCTCTTCCGAAAATTAAGGCTATGTCTTAATTGTAAAAGGCGTTCAAATTAAGACATTGCCTTAATTTTAAACCTAACCCCCACCCAACCCCCGCCCTAACCTCTAATCCTAATCTAATCTTAGTCTCACCCTAATCCAATCCTGGCGACCTTTTTTCTTTCTTTTTTTAAGAGAATTTTGGAGAATTTCAAATTTAAGCCATATCCTTAATTTTCAAACGTTTTACAATTAAGACATAGCCTTAATTTTGAGAAGAGATCATGTTGTGAGATCTCGATCGGTGGGGATGTTTAGATTGCGCTAAACTTTCAGTTTAGTAAATGTAATAAACGAACGTCCAACTAACAAACGTAATATACGGAAAATCTGTCAACATAAGATTAATTGCAATCTTCAAAAAAATACGTCGTGTAGAATGTTTTTATATATTTCATCGAGATCAAGAAGTTGTATTGCTCACGCATGTTTGGATGTCTTGCTTTAAAAATTTCAATTTGGAAACGTAATAAACGAACATCCACTCCAATTATGAAATTCCAATTAGCAAACGTAATAAACGGAAGAATAGGCGAAAATTGTACCACGCGCGTTATGTTTCCATTCGATCGCATCATTTAAATATCGCTCTGCACTATGTTGTATTCTTTCTTTCATACATGTAAAATGTATCTGTTCATTTTTCAAAGATTCATATAATCAAGGCCATGAGCGCTCAAGCACTCATTCCTATCACTATGTTCCAGTGAAGAGCTGTGCTCTTTCACGGGCGCCTTCGTTTAGACAACACGAAATAGCCCAGTGGTTCCACTTTCCTTGCGATAGTAACCCCATTAGTTCTAGCAGTCGTGGTGAAATGACGTCATCATGCATCAAGTACTATTTAAAACACGCGTAGGAGTGTTTTATCATATTTAACGACTTAATTCTATTCAGAACCATTCTCAGAGAAATGAAAAATTTATAGTTTCGTGTATCAACATGTTTTAGAATAATATGAAACTTTGGTCGTTTTTTATATCTTTCAAGATGGTTCTAAAATAGAATTGAAACACTGCGCGTCATCCAAGACAAACGTGAATTAAGTTAATCGCGAAAATATTTCTCGCTACCAATCCCCGTTGACTCGATAGCTCCATGGGTAGAGTGGCAGTTTAAAAACCCGAGCATGTATGTGAGTTCAAATCCCACTCGAGAGAACGAATGTTTCGTTGTACTCTGCAATGTCAGAATAATATGAAACTAGTTTTTTTATATCTCGGAGGATGATTCTGAAATAGACTTGATTGATTTGTTATTCATGTTTTAATTGTAGCATGGATAGGTTATTGATTCATGGGATTTGTCAATACATGAACTTAACTTCACAAAGTAAGTACAGATGATATATCTCCAACTATATTCAATTAAAATTCCTTGCAGTTGAAACGCTGAAAGATGCGCGAACCGATCGTATAAATGATGGGTTAGACTACTCATAGCCTATCGAAGGGGGGATGGCTGTGAAACTCATTAGAATAACAATATAACTCGTTATTTATGTTGATCAACGTTTATTCATAAATCTGGTCCTTCACCGTCACGTGTGTATTGTATTCTTGCCCAACTAACCAATAGCAATGTTTTAGGAAAGTCACCTATCCGTGACTCGAACAACAGGGAAACTGGAAATTGCTATTGCCGGATTTGACAGAAATACAATACACACGTGACGGTGAAGGACCATATTTATTACGTTGACTAACACAGATGAGTTATATTGTTATTCTAATGAGTTTCACAGCCATCTCCCCTTCGACAGGCTATATATGGACTACTCTAAGGCTATTCAACCCTCGCATTAACGTATCAAACCTCAGATAGCATCATCTTATGACCAAATATTATCCACTAAAGGTAGTAACGCCCTCAGATCATTCTCGTCTCCAGGACCTCTCGCGTCCTTATAGTTTTCAACAAGTGGCTCTGGGGACGAGAAAGCCCCCTGATAGTAATAACCTGCATGACTGCATTCTTCAGTGGGTTGAAAATTTGCAAATTACAAAGTACTAAAGGATCACCTAACCTACATCTAAGATGCAGATTCATTAGTTTAAACAGGGTTCGTACAAAACATGAATGTCCTCGAATTTGAAAACAAAAATTGAAGGCCGTGAATGTCCTTGACTGATTTGTAAAGAAATACTTGAAAGTCCTTAAATTTTTCTTGCTTCAGTTTCTGGATATTTTCTGAAATTGTTTGACATTCAAAAACGGACATTTTGTTGAATTGGTTTTATATGTTCATATCTGACAAAGTTGTTTGAAATTCATTAAAGTTGCGTTTTGAACAATTCAGTGTCACTTTTTACTGATTTTTAACGCCTTCTCTTCGGAGTTCAGCCCTTTAGTCCTTGAATATCCTGATACATGTCCTTGAATAGCCCGTTTGCAGCCCGAAATTTCGTTCAAAGTTAACTAATATTCCGTTTCAAATTTTCGTGTGGGGGACTGCGAGCAGGGCTAGTCCTTGAAAATTCCTTGAATTTGACTCTTCCTGACATTTACGAACCTTGTTTAAATTACGTCATAGCATGCAAAGAACAAAACACGATAGGAAGTGGAGTTATCTATGCAACAGATTGAGTTTTGTCAATCTTCTTTTGAAGGTCACCCAAGATACGTGATTCAAGTAGAAAACCTGAAAAACCAGTTTCATCCGCCGGTTATGTTATTATCACAATATTTAGAACGCATTAGATAATGAACGTATTTAAAAATTGTATAATGAATTGTCAATATTTTAGCGATTGTGTAGTTTTAAACAAATTTTCTGGAGGCGTTTTTAATACTGTCAGTTCTATGACATCTTATGTGTAACATAACAAAATTAATAAATTTATTGTGAAAATCTTGTCTCGCGGAGTCTAAAATACTAAATGTTTTTAACTGTGTACAGGGTGCATGTCAAAAAAAACGGTATGGAAATTCAACAGGCTGTCATGCATCAAAAACGTGGTTAAACAATTCAATTTTTACATGGGACGAAAGAACAGTTATTTAGCTTTTCAATGATACTCTTGTTAAGTCGTAACGATGATAAATGGCCACATATACTCGTAAAATAAAGATTACCGGTCGAAATCACATTCTTCCACCGTTGGGAGTTGCATGGAAAACGAAACATAGACAATTCCCAAGAGGGAATTAAAGTTGAATGTTCAATTATCTAGAATGAGCTCAACTCGTCAACCTTCGTCTTAGTGAGATAATACTGAGAACGTCCATTGTTGCATTAAACATGGTTCAATTAATCACTGAGCAGAGAACATGTGTAATCAAAACGTTTTACGAAACAAATACCTTCCAGTTCCAGCAGGCTCGCGTTGCTTTTGGATTGATTAACCTTGCATATAATTAATTATTTTCAATTCCCAACGGTGGAAGAATGTGATTTCGACCGCCAATTCTTATTTGACGAGTATGTGGCCATTTCTCTCATCGTTACGGTTTAATTAAGAAAGGTATCATAGAAAAGCTAAATAACAGCTCTTTCGTCCTATATAAAAATTGAATTGTTTGGCTAAGTTTGTGACGCACAATAGCCTTTTGAATTTCCATAGCGTTTTTTTAGACACCCTGTATAACCGATATTATTTTAAAACCAAATGGAAAACGTGTACAATCCAGAGTTTAAAAAAATACGATGTTGTGTTCGCACCGTTCGACTGCGAGCTCAAGTGGAAATTGCCTATACTCAGCCTCGTCCCCGGCGCTTTGATGTTGCGTGACGCGCGCGCGGGAGGCAACGCACCTCGATTCCCGCGCGTGCGTCACGCAACCAGTAAGCACATCAAAGCGCCAGGGACGAGGCTGGCCTATACTGCACTCTCACTGAAATTGACACCAGTGATTGACACTTGATTATTTAAACAAACGCCTGCAACCTGAGCTTCTATGGAATGCGTACATGACGTATGAACGAAAGCAACTATTGGGCAGTGAACAACAGAAAACAATGCTCATAGAAATTGTGTTTGATGAAGCTATTCCCGCGCTTTAACAAAGCGTAAAACATTCTTAATATAGTGTGTTCTGTAAACGCTATAGGAGTTAGAAATTATCATCTTTGCTAAGAACAAGTCGCACTGATCACAGTTTTTTGAGAAAACCTAGCATTTTTAATTAAACAAAAAAATACCCTGCACATTGCAACGAAGTCCCTTATTGCCAACATTTTTTTTTCATTTGGTGCATGATGACAGCCGGTGTGTACATCACATACGTCAAAAATGGAACGTCTAAAATAGATCCCATCACAAAATTTTATCATGCATGTTTATGCTTTCACAATCATGCAGTCGTTTTATATTTACACAGTACAAACTCTACACATCTTTTCATCAACTATTCACAAAATTTAAAGTACATTAACTTGGAGATAGACAATTACTATTTTTAAGACATTTTTACAAAATCATAAGGTGCATTAGCCAACCAACCCCCAAATTAAAAAAAAATCAAATTAATATAGGAAACGTTTTAAAAATCTTGGCAAAATTATTTAAATCGTGTTCAGTGCTCTGAGTGTTTTCATTGAATTCTTATTTATTGTAAAACAGGATAAAAATCTGATATTTAAAATAGCAAACATCTCATGGCCATATGTTTTCCGAAGATGGGCAATTCCAAGAGTGGGAAAACAGGACAGCAATTTCACAACAATGTTTCCGGGTTTACTCAGGGCTTAAAGCCATGGCAATGGAAGTATTCCTAAAATATTCTATCACTTCATTTGCTCACACGAACAAATTCATTTGATCAGTCATTTGAAAATTTGACAACTTCCGGTATAATTGATAGACTTCCTATTGAATGCAGCAATCACCTTTGGTTTTCGTGCAAATGACCAATCATAAAGAAGCAGTAAGTGACCTGCAGAAATGATCAAATACACAAGTGGCAGATATTTGGTCATATGTCTCAAATGAATTGGTTTGGGTGAGTAAATGAATATTTTAGAAACACTTCCATTGCCATGACTGTAAATCCAAATCAATACTCCCAAATTGATTTTGTGTAATTGGAGTTCCAGTCACGGGAAAACACATCTTCTAGTTGTCTCTGGATAGTATCTGAGTACAACGGATTCTTCGCATCAGGAGACGTTTGATTGATGATATAACCAATACCACCAGTGCTCACGAAGTAATCTGCTGACCAATTAGATGTTCCGACATACGCAGCATTATCAGTGACCATGTACTTAGTGTGTTGGACACGACTGTAAGGAATCTTCCTCTGACTTTCACTTGCTGGAACCTTGAACAATCTCTGAAATACAAGTATATGTTGCATTTAGATGTAAGTATAAGACGCGTACAATCCAGACAGGGCCGTAGCGAAGGGGGGTATTGGGGGGTGGTTAACCCCCCAACTTTTTTAGAATTAACATATTCGGAAAATCAGGTTGGTCATTCGGAAAATTACGGCAGTAATAGTATAACAAAATTTTAGTTGTTTAATTAAACAGAGAAAATATTATAAAATTGTATTGTCAGCATCATAAACTGATTTACAAAATCACGGCATTTACATGGATAACATTTAACAAATCGTAGATCGGTAAATGTTTTTCGGTTTATTACTTCCCAGGGCCGTAGCAACGGGTGGGGGGAGGGGGCAGTCCTCAATATATCTTTAAAATACTGACAATTGATTAATTTTAAGCGGCTACATTACCCATGACAAACCGCAAAGAATCGTATTACCCATATACGCCTTCGCCCATTTAGTTCTTCTAAATTGTAAGCAAATTAATTGTAGATTTCGACGTGCTAAAACTCTGTTTTCTGACCATCAGAATTCTGTCAAAACTTCCCCCAAAGTCCACGAAATGGCATTTCAGAGACTCTAAATTTAAAAATTTCCTCGGGCCTTCGGCCCTCGCCACCCCCTTATCAAAAAGAACTTCCTACGGAACTGCACGCTTCTGTAATATGTCTGTGCGTAAAATATGAGTATTTTTGTTTGTAAATTGCGTTTTCATTTTCCGGATAGCAAACACCTTCGTGGCTTCGTATGCCATGAAATATTCGGAAATGTTTTTCGTCATTCGGAAATTTTTGCCCCCTCCCCCCAACTATGCATGCTTAGCTACGGCCCTGAATCCAGGTCGTGATGGTCAGAAGTTTTTTAATTAAAAACGCGGGTTGTATACCCGGAAAATATAAGGCATGCAGGCAATGGTGAAAGCGTACCCGCATGCCTCACATTTTACAGTTATATAGCCCGCGTTTTTTAATTAACACGCCTCTGCATGTGGAGGAGAGAGGGTCGGAAGCATGTCAAGGTGGCATATAGTGTCCAATCTCTGCAACTAGTAAAGTTTAGTAACTACTGCATGATTGGCATACAGCAAATAAAACACAAGAAGATCTAGACTACAACAGTAGCGAACACTTCATATTAACACCCATTTGTTCTGGAAATCTTAACTTTTTAGTCGCAGGGCACCTGTATCGTTGCGACTCTAGCTCTCGGCTTTGGAATTTCGTATGAAATGAACAATTCCACTGATCTCATAGTAGACTGAAATCTGGATATAGTTTCTATAATATCGGGTGAAAAACACTTGGCGAAGGTTTACTACCAAAATTATCTGAAATTTACAAGTTGCCTTTTACTACATATTTCTTGCATGTCCTATTAAAAAGTATGCAAAGAAGCTAGACAAAAGCATCCGGTTGGGCGTGTACCTTCCTTTTAGGTACACCTAAGTTGGTGCTTTTGTCCACTGTATACTGCCGAACTGATTAGAAATCGCATAACACTGAAACTTCTAGAAGGCCTTCACTCGAAATGTCAAATTTCTTTTTGTATTTTTCAGATTTCATCTTGTACAGAGGCGCAGTTTCTATTCTTCGCTACCTATACTGGCATCTGCCGTATGAAAAGTAATAGGTGCATACTACTCGTTGTATGCTAATGTATAGAACAAACCAAACGTACCACTTCAACATCCACATTGCTCACATCATTCAAAACGGCCAAAGATTTCAAGAACGGGATCATTGCAGGTTTAGTATGAACCCAATCACTGGCCATAAAGTGAACCTCAACACCTCGATCAAATGCTGCTGTTCGTAAAGCGTCATCAATAACAGCCCAATACCTACGTCAGAGAAAACAAGCACGTCAATCCTTGAAGGACTGGGCAGGGTGCAATACGGAAACTCGAAATATACTCTAATACTCTATTTACCCCTCTTCTCCTTTAACGAGCCCTCCTTTTTAAATGAGAAATTTTGAAGCCCCTCTGTTACGCCTCCCCCCTTCACAACAAAGCATGCCTGTATATTTAGTTTTTTTGCAAGTAGCCAAAAAGAATTAACAGTTAGCCCTGTGTGGTCCAAACTTGCCCGCTTCGCTTGAAGCTGGCAAATTACAACACGGGACCAGGCACCGAAGACATTTTTTTGAGTTATGTTTCATATTGTCAAAATTGAGTGTTCGCAGGTTCGCAGTGTCCGCAGGTTCGATTCCTACCAGAGGGCCTATAGTTGAAATTCCATCTACAAAACCCTTCACCATTAGTTCAATTGAGTGAGACGCCCAAAAATCCACATAGGGAAGATTCCCATTTTGCGAACGAAGGCGTTAAAGCGTTAGCTGCTAAATCCAGTCTGGTATACCAGACGAATTACGATCGGTTAAAGCTACGATTACACACAATGATTAATCGGGCCGATTTCAGGTTTTGCCAAATGTTAATGAAGAATGATGCTTGTGATGTTACTCTGAGTGCATATCCACACCGGGCAAGCTTGAAAAATATGCCTGACCACGGGGGGAATCGAACCTACGACCTTTGGAATACTAGCCCAATGCTCTGCCAACTGAGCTACGCGGTCAGGTTGGTTCGAGTATGTGATATTTCGGAACAGAATCTAGTTCCTTCGATATCAATATAATCTAATAATCATGATTTTTTTGTGTTGACCTGAGTACATTACACCATAGATTATAATAGATCATACCAGATGTCTCACTGTGTATCTATCCCTATGATTTTCGTGTCCGCGATTTTCGCGAGGCTATCACGTCAGATGACGCGTGCGACACTTACTGCCAAAATGGCGATTACTGCCAAAATGCGTGATTGCCCACGTTTCATGGCGTGGATTAGACTTACTGCCAAAATGGCGGCCAACGCGTGCTCATAAAAAATCGCGGACACAATTTTGGCTGAGTGAGACATCTGGTATACACCAACACAAAAAAAATCGTTAATGAAGAACGTTGTCAGTTGACGATGTCGTCAGATGACGTTGACTGCGTATTTTTCAAATATCATTTAATTAAAGCTGAATCGACCTGATTAATCGTAGTGTGTAAACGTATCTTTATATAAGATTAGCCGACCAGACAAAGTTCTGTACACCTAACCGCAGTATATTTAAAAATAGTGCTGGACAAGTATTCCGTCCATGAGCTTCTGCTTCAAACAAAACGGAGAGGCAGGCTAAAGTCAGGCTAACTCAATTCTCAAACATTTTCCCGCTGGCGTTAATAAAAACACATTTCGACTGACTCACTTCTCTGGCCAGGTATATAAAAATGTTGGTGAATAATCCATGACTGAGATATGAATAAATTTCTTTGCTTTGTGTATTACATCAAGAATTGAGTCAATATCTGTTGTTCTACCATGAGTACATAGTGGAGGTGGGGAAGAAGATAGATAAACTTTGCCTTGTCCATCACCATTGATCCTCAGTGGCATTGGAGAATCTGAAATAATAAGACAAGAAAGTAACTGTATGTCTACACTAGCCGAGAAATTATTTTCTGAATGCATGAAATTAATTTACAACCGGGAATTGCTTAACCTAAGATCTCTGGTTTGACATACCCATCCTCTTATACTGAGCAATTACCTATTGCCAGTATTAGACATGCCGGTCTAAGAATTGAGACACTAATGCCTGTATCCTAAAAACTCACTCACACTCAAAGAGTGGAGGTTCAATCTGAGCTTCCCTTGAGTGTCATGCACGTCAGTGCTGTGTTTGAATAGCTGGGGGGTTAGTCTCGTACCTTACTACGTGACCTTACTATCTTTTTCAAATACTAAATGTACAAGGATGTAGTCTTGCCCAACTAGGAATGATATAGGAATGTTGTCACTGGTCAGTAGTGTGTGAATAGCACCATGTGGTGTCCAAATTATCCACTAAGTTTTAAGAAAGTTATTTGACCACATTTGGACACCGCAAGGTAACCAGGCTAGAATTTCAATAAAGAACGGTGGATTTAACATATTAAACGGGAAAGTCACAAACTAAACCGGGCGGTAAGATGGTGGTATCTTGATTTGCGAACCTTATTAATTTGGTTACGACTTATGTACTAATACATTTTCAACATGTCACCTTTATTATAATAAGTCTCCAAACTAACAGGCCAGTGCTCTGGGATTGTGGAGTTTGGTTCGGCTAACATCCAATAAATGTCAAAAATTTTAGACATATCATTTGCTAGGCAACTACAGTTTGACGTCAGCAGGCCAAGTTCTTTAACCTGAAAGAAACAACAGAACAAGTGAAATTAACCAAAATTATAGATGATGCAGCATTGCAACGAACAAAGAGGTTGAGCATGGTATGTTTTTGCCAGCACTTTGTGGTGTCGTGGTCACCACGCTTGCCCCGTGACCCGGGCTCAATCCCTGGTCGGATGTCTACTAAAGGTCTTAAAATAATTGAGGAGAAAGAGCTACCTTTACATTGACATCAATAACTGGTTAGACTTTCGCGTCGTCTTGGATAAGGACGTTAATTAAATAGTGCATGGGTACGGATCCCCTATCAATTTCCCAACAGGCAATAGCCTTGTAGCCTGTTGGGAAATGAGTGAGAAATTCAACAAACTAAGTGTTTTATTATTTATTAAAAAGATCATAAAAGACATCCGCACCTGCGTATTTACTTTTTGCTGGTACCACATGACCTTTCCAAGCCCAAGGTAATCAATGGGCTAGAATTCCAAAGGTCGTAGGTTCGATTCCCACCGTGGCCAGGCATATTTTTCAAGCCTGCCCGGTGTGGATATACACTCAGAGTAACATCACAAGCATCAGCCGTAATTTAGTTGGTATATCATGTGTCTGAATCTCTGAGATGTCTTGGCATGAAGCATGATTGGACTGATGGCACTAAGAAACGTTGGAGTCGCTTGTTTGTATATGCAATTTTGTGCTTCTTTTTCTATCTCGTAGTATGAACATACGTTTCAGAAACGTGTACTTTATGAACCTTATTTTAAAGAGTATTGAGTTTGTACTAGCGTAAGTACGCAGCAACAACCATTGCAGGAGTACCAGTCAGGTACAACTAAATTCTTTAATCGCCGCACCCTGATTTCTACACCGGATTGGGTTATAAAACAGTATAAATAACCAAGCAAATACAATAAAACTACAGTACGCTGAAAATATCAAACCTGTGTGAGTGATCTCCAGTCCATGTTTGCACTGCCAAGATAGAAATGCATATTGTCAACTAACCACATCTTACTATGTATAATACCGGCTCCTATCAGTCGTTCTAGGTCTAAAACACGAACTTTAGCGAGTCCCTTTTCTTCTAAGATTTTTGTGTCTAGATTTGGTTGTGATTTTGTATCAACTTGGTGCACGATTCTGATCTCGACACCTGAAAATAAAAAATAGTACAATTCACCATTTTGCATCTGTAGATAATAATTGCATGCATGAATGTTCAAAAGTTCATTCAGCTAGGAGGAAACAATTTTTGCCCCACACCTTCAGAAAACAGAATCCTATTGGATTAGTTCTGTTTATATAAAATAAAGAACAGGTTCAAGGCTAGCTCTATTAAATTAGATATTTAGATAAGCCCAAGTTTGTTAATTTGTTTACATTAGTCCCAACAGTTTCATATACTACCATAACAAAACGTGTTATTGTCATTGCACGAGCCTTAATTTAAACTTAAGTATTTTTTATCTAAATGGTAAATTTTACATGTGCCTAATAAATACCAAAAGTTATATCAATTGCATACCAATAGCACAGTATAGGGAGACAACCAGTAGGGCCGCTCAGGAGAGACAAAAGTGGGACATTTTTAAGCTAGGTCCCAGACGTCTGGCGCGGTCAAAACCATTTCCTCTGTAATACAATTTTATAGTGAACTGCTGCCGTTTACTGGCTGCCAATACGTTAATTAGGTTAGCAGCCAGTAAACAATGCGGACACTTTTTGATGCTGTGTGGCCCTACTGTTGTTTCCCTATACTGTGCCAATAGTAAATTTTACATGTGCCTAATCATGGACGTACAAAATAAATACCAAAAGTTATATCAATTGCATATGATTTGCATAATACGAAAACGAGGTTGTGTAGCCAAACGTAAACAAAGATGATGAACTATCCGATTAACCAATCAGATGCATTTGAACTATCCGATTAACCAATCAGATGCATTTGAACTATCCGATTAACCAATCAGATGCATTTGAACTATCCGATTAACCAATCAGATGCGTACTAAGCCAGTGAAAGGTAGTGGTAGTGGAAGTCAAATCTGAACCGCTCTAATGTAACGACCACGATGTTATGTCGTCATCTATAGAGGATATTACACGGCGGCACGAAGATATGACTTTTATCTTCGAGTGGTGAAAACAATATTTTACGAACGAGCGCAATTATATAGTCCCAGGCAAAAAATTGTGAAATTTCACGCTCAAAAGCAAATTGGAAAAAGTCACGTGATCAATATCTTCACTAATGAAGATATGGAAAATATCTCACTGTGTATTTTTCAGTATCTCACTATCTACTATATAATATATATATATATATATATATATATATATATATATATATATATATATATATATATATATATATATATATATATATATATATATATATATATATATATATATATATATATTGTTATTAAATATTTACATACAATGTCATTGAGATGTCAGTGCATATAATTTTATATTGTTGTTTTCGTCAAACGAAATTATTTAAAATACGGCATGATGATTATGCTTCATGCTGTGCCAGAAATAAAACGCGCTTGATTTCTAGCAAGCAATGGTTCTTCAAAGAGTTGATCAATTCATGCATTTTCCACATTTTTAAAACTGTAGGGAGCCACCTTAATTAAACATCTTAAAATTTGCAATGAATAATCTCCACAAAATTTATTACTTCTGACGTACAGTATAAAAAATTAGATACGAAACTTAATTTAAGGTCTCCGAAGGCCCGTTTACACTTTCAATATTTGCTGCGACTTTTATCCCTAAGTTCTGGTTTAGCCACATGTTATTTAATTACGGAGGGTAGATTTTGAGACCTCAGTTTGTACCACTGACCGTTTTTTAGACTTACTGCTACATTGGTCTAGACCAAAGTTCAGCGACAAAAAATTGCATGTGTAAATCGCGATTTAAGTCATATACACTTTAGATCATTTTCACTTATAACAAGTGCAGAATAATTTAGTAATTGTATATATTTTTAATTAACAAATTCATTAACTTGCTCGTATAACTTTAATGAAACTACGGTTAATAGACGTAGATGAAACGGAGTGATAATTAAAATCTACTGAAAGGTTAATATTAAACAGAAAGCTTTACACTTACAATGAAAAAAGCTGTTGCCTGTTGTATATTTCGACATATATTTCGAATTTTATTGCATGTTAGTATGATATAGTGCCGAAGAATTACGGGAATATGGAACTATAGGAGTAAAGTTCCGAGTACATTTGGAAAAATATCGAGTATGGCAGGATTCCCGCCAAGCTCCATCACACTATGTGATATAGGCGATAAAAGTGTTAGTTTTCAACATTTCCCTACTGGAATAAAAGCAATGTCATTACAAGCTGCTCTGGCGATGACAAATATTGCCATATCTCTCTTTGGAACACTGGCCAACGGTCTTGTCATAATGGCGTACTATCGTAACCCTTGTCTGCGAACAGTCCAGAACACGATCTTCTTGCTGCTTGCCATCACAGACGTCAGCGTAACTGCTTTTGCGCAACCCATATTTGTGGTCGCCATCTTACGTGGTTTGCTGGGAAACCATAGTTGCATTTTATGGGGACTTGATACCATATTATCGTTCTTGTTCTTGGAACTATCACTGATAACAATTGTTATTCTTAGCTTGCAAAGTTATATAACCCTGGCTTATCCGTATCGTTGGCAAAGTATAATTACAAAGTCCCGTTTGAATTTAGTGATTGCCATTTCTTGGCTTCTCATTTTGCTAAAAAACCTGGCTATTTTTCAACACTACCACTTTGTTTTATACGGATTGTTTTGTATTACACTATTAGCAATCGTCACTGTGGTTTTTACCTGGTCTTGGACATATAAACTCGTTGCCCGACATCGGAAGGCAATTCAAACCACTCATACTCCTGCAAGCAATCAAACTGTGGCACAGAAGAAGATCCTACGATCAACAATAACCGCATTCGCCATTATTTTAAGTCTTCTGGCATGTTACTTTTTGGACATGTGCCTTTCTATCTTCCAACATTTTCTAAATGCTTCGACACTTGGTGATAACACGTACGGGATTTTATGGTCATTGGCAATGACATTAATGTACCTAAACTCTCTGCTTAATCCCTGCCTTGTTTTTTGGCGAAGTACTTGTTTCAGAGAAGCCGTGCAGAATATTTTCAAATAGAAAGAAATGGAAACATTATGAATTGTTATATACATGTGACTGTATAATAACGGCTTATTAACCGAGCGTGAGGTCTGTACTGTGAAATATCAGACCGAGGTTTTTTAGTATGGATCGAGCGACGAAGGAGCGACGTCCATGCAAAAAACAGAGGTCTGATATTTCACAGTACAGACTGAACAAGCGAGGTTAATAATCGGTTTATTATATGGCTGAACTGAGTCTGTGAGCTTTTCGCGCGAATTAAATCGGCTATCGTCAGTTTCACTGGTTAACAATATACGGTAGGCATGCATGCTCAATCAAAAACAATTTGGTTGCCAAGTTTGATATTTTATCTGTAAATTTTAATGACACACAATTGGAAAATTAAAAAGCAAAAATTTTTTCTGTTTGCAAAGCAAAAATTTCCCGCCAGATAAACGACATCCCGACACCGGTCCAGATACGGAAAATACGGACCACGGTCCGGATATGGGTTTTTACCAGTTTTATGGGTATATAATTCGTATAATTAGGTCAACCCCAGTCCCCACTCTAAATTTCGATTTTGGCTTCTTTTGGCCGGATTTGGCTGCTTTTCACGTATCATTTGGCTCTTTCGGGCTCAGACCACCTGGCAACCCTGATCTCATAATGACATCATCCACTCCTTCACATCTTCCAAAAGGAGAAAATTGCAACTAAAATCGCAGCAAAAATCGCCCGTGTAAACGAGCCTTTATGAATGATCTGAGGTTTATATGTAAATTCATCTGAACATCCATAATTCATCCACTCGTTCACATGCGTCAGAAGAAGAACAACGCGTGCCTTAAATAAGGAAGCAAAAAACTTTACAAATCTTATGTTTTGTCATATGTGTTGAACATTTTAAAAACACAGTTTTTAATCCAGTCCCCCTCGGCAATCTGACGTCCGTGTTCACAAAAACGTCGCTTGCAGGTCCCTAATGGCAATTACAGCAAACAATTCCCATATTAAAATCGTGTACAAAATGCCGAGTGTTATTCTCGTTAGAGAATATTAAACAGGGTTCGTACAGGTCAGGAAGAGTTAAATTCAAGGACTTTTCAAGGACATTCAAGGCCGTGTATTTAATAGCAAATTCAAGGACTAAATACTGAAGGTGTTAGAAATCAGCAAAATCTGACGTGGAATTGTTCAAAACGTAACTTTATAACGAGGTCAGATATGAACATGCAAAATCAGTTCAACAAAATGTCCGTCTTAAATGTCAAACAATTTCAGAAAATATCCAAAAACTAAAGCAAGAAGAATTCAAGGACATTCAAGTACTTCTTTACAAATTCAAGGACATTCAAGGCCTTGAATTTTTGTTTTCAAATTCAAGGACATTCAAGGACTTTCAAGTTTTGTACGAACCCTGATTAAAAGAGGACCACGTAGTCCAGGGAGGATATTTGCCGCCTCTTTCTTAGATCGAACTTTACATCTCGTCAGCGACCTCAAAGTTTGATAACATTTGTGCCCTCAGTAATTTATACATGTACTGTAAATGCAGTCCTTGAAATTTATTCAAATTTATACAATGTCAATCGTTCTTGGAAACGAGAATGGAATACTAGGAATTACAGTAAAACGAAAGTGAAACAACGAACGCGCCGGGCTATGGCCAGTGGGTGGTTTATGAAAGAACTTTAAATACACTAATTTTGCAATTTCACATGTCTGGCAAACATAAATGTTCATAATTACGTATTTTTATTGATCATCCGTATCCTCCAAGTAATCCGTATCGTGTGTTAGGTGAACAAGGTATTTTGTTTCAACTTGTTTTCGTTTTTACTGTCAATTTTATAGACTCGTATACTTTATCGACTCGTATACTTTATAGACTAGTATACGGCAAGAATATCCTAGCTTGCAGGTGTGATAAAAAAAAGCTAATCCAAGTTGTCTGTTGAGTTATAGATTTTATATTTCGTGACAATAAAATTATATTTATATTTCGTGTCAGACATTTAGCTGTCAAATAACATCTTTTTTGGAATGATTGCAATAAAAAATGGGCTATTCCAATTATTATCCGCACCCCCCTGTTGAGGAACCCCTTTCTCACGTTGGTACTCCCCTGGAATTTCCGCAAATTTTCATGTAAAATTTACACCTTCCCATGGAATTTCCTTGTAAAGATTACCCTTGCCCATGGAATTTCGATTTTAAATTAGGCCTTCCCATGGAATTTCCATTTAAAATTTGGCCCTGTCCATGGAATTTTCATGTATAAATTACCCTTCCCTATGGAATTTCCATCATGGGACACATTTGCTCCCGGAAATTTCCTCTAACATATGTCCTCCCATGGGGTTTCTATCCCATGAAATTTACCCCTCCCTCTGGAAATTCCATGTGAGAATTACTCCTCCCCTTGGAATCCAGAGCCTGAATGCCCCCTTCCCTGGAAATTCCAGGGTTAATCCACCCCCTCCCCTAGAAATTCCAAGGTTAATGTACCCACTTCCCCTGGAAATTTAAAGTTAATGCACCTCTCCCCTGGAAATTCCAAAGTTAATGCATCCCCTCCCCTGGAATTCCAAGGTTCCTCAACAGGGGGAGTGCAGCTAATAATTGGAATAGCCCAATGGTCAAATACAAGCCAATTTAAAGTGGCCAGTCAAAATCGCATTTTCCACCTTGGCTTTGAGTACACAGCTACTGAAATTATAATGAGTATTGAATTTGAAACTATACGTCTGAGTAATGAAATTACTGATCCTCATTAATTTTTTGGATACAAATTTAAAAACGTGAATAACAGTGCTGTATCATATGCGGTATGGGCATAGCAACCAGGGGATTCATAGGGGGAGGCAGGGACGTCGCTACAGGGGGGGGAGGGGTGTAACACACCCCAATAATTCAAAACGTTGGTCACAGTTGGTCAAAATGGAACTAATAATTGCTTAAATTGAAGGTAAAAGTTGGTAAAATTTGGTCAAAGTTTGAGATAAAAGATGTTCAAAGACAAAGTTATGAAATCGTTTGCAATTTTAACAATTTCTAAGCTTTGGTCATGTTTGCGCTGAAACAATTGCAAGCTTTGCTTATTTTGGTCAAAAAATATTTGTAGCTTTGCTAATATGTTAGTCTGCAAAATTGTTTGACACCCCCACCTCTCCCCGTTGACAACATTTTCGGGAAACATTTCTACTACTTGGTCAAATTCTAGGAAAAGTTGGTCAAAACATGTCAACACCCCCCCCCCCCCAATGTTGATGTCTTCATGACGTCCCTGGGGGGAGGGGGGTCCTCTTAAAATCACCTGGAATTGGACAGTCAGAGTAAAAAAGTTGGGTGTGTTTCTAGGCACATTAATTTATAACCTTTAAGATTCAGAACAACCCTTTATAATAATCTAATCTTAAGATCATAACCCTAATTATATTACAAAACATCTAAAATCTAATATACAGTTAATTTCTGTTCTTGTTTAGGCCTACTATTCAAGTTAAAGACGTGTTGACTACAAACTTTAAGAAACAGGGATTATGATAGAATTACCATTCGCAAGAGTTTAACATTATAAAAATAGGTGGCACCTACAGTAAGCCATTACCCAACAGGTCCCAACAACTGAGGAGAAAGGGTTATGCCCCAAGAATACATGTATTTTTAATCCTCTCAAGGCATTTAACAATCAATCGTTAACTACCAAATAAATTTTATTGATTTTATAATTATCTTATTTATTTCAGTCAATGACCAGCTTTTATTGAAAACTCAGTGAAACTATATTGAGTCACACATACAAAATTGGTAATTGGTATATAAACTGAGTGGATTGTCATATGCACTCTTAGCATGTGATTGTTTTTCATTAATATTCAATGCCTTGGATTGGCATATAAGTAGATTTACAAATGAGTTCTCATTCCTCTCAAAAGATCGACCAATGTGGTCAAGCATAACAACTAATATAACAAGGTATATTGGTAGTAAATTCGAATCAACTACTAATATCTTGTTGAAGGAACCATATTACCCTACTTTTGCTAACAAAAGGAGAGTAATTCATAACTATTATTGTTAAAGATAATTATGAAATTAATTAATGGCAATGGAAAATAAACCCCTTAAATAGAATCAACCAAAGCCCACAGTAAATCATTCCTTGATTATGCGTATTAGCCTCCTCAAAGTTAAATTACCTTATATAAATTGCTGTAAACTCATGCAGCTAAATTCATCACCTTTCCTTTTCACATCCTGGCTGTGTGAAAATGCACCTGTGTATAGGTGTGCCATGTGTTACTTATCTGTATAATAGTGCATGAACCTTGAATGAATCAGGTGAGGGTGTGTATTTTATTATAACAGGGGACATCATGATAGGTTTCTAACCACAGAAAGTTTTGGTGGCCCATAAGGACAGATTTCACCATTTCATTTTAAGTTGTAACTGTAACTGTACTTTCACAAATAGTTATTATATTATCTCTTTTTAAAAACAACTGCTTGCAGTTTGAAAATATCATGTCACAGAGTATCATGTCTTTTATGGGCCACCATCATGACAGAAGTACACCTGGTTTAAATGTACATGCAGTATTATATATCACCTCGTTTCCCAGCTTCTTCCAGCTTATTAAAAATATCATCTCCCTGCCATGAGCTGGGATCTTTGACTGGTATATCCTCGGATCTGAGTGACCAATATGATGATGCAATATAGATGGTTGACTGTGCTGCATCCAGAAGCTGTAACCAACCACTGTATATTGAGGGGTGAGATGGTGCACCATCAGGATAGGTTAAATTCTCTGGAATACTTTCTATGAGGGTGATATTACAGTTTGTAGATAAAAAAGCACGGCAATTAGTCTCATGGTCATATAGATCTGATGTACCACACCATCTGATGTGTTTATTAATTTCATGATTTTTGTCGTGACGCAAGAACACACCAAGGCACACAGCACAAACCACAAGAATGGCCAAAACACACAAAAAACACAAGATTTTCTTTCGCGTTTGCAAAACGTTTGAAGGTTTTTTCAACTCTACATTGTCTGTCAAGACAATCGTATCCATGTTATTATCCATATCTTACAGAATCACGAAATTAAGAGGAATATTTAAAGAAAAATAAATGCGTTTCCGTGTATTTTTTATATTTGATGGACAGCCACAGAGAATTCGTAGGTTATCGGATATTCCCGGAAAGTGTCGTGAATCTCACTTTTTAGCACAATCATGGAGCAAGATGGCGGCTGGAATGGGAGAAAAAGTGTTGATAAAAGTTTATTGAAAAACATTATAAGACATACTGATGCACATAATAAGGTAAAATGTGAAAGCTTTTCTTATATAAGTCGTATTTTTTAGTTGAAAACGTACATAAATCATACACTTTATAAATCATTAGATTCAAGAACAAAATGAAATGTGGAAACAATGGGAGTTAAAAAAGCAGTCTCACGAACGAGATGAGTCATACAAACATGATAGGCGTACAAGCCGTTCAAGGTATGTTTTAAAAAATTAATGGTAAATATGTAGAAAACATCAAATTTGCACACCCAATATCTCGGTTGGATGACAAACTTTCCACACTGGAAGGTATGTTTCAAATATGCCCAAAGCAATTATAGGACTTAATATAGCCAATAGGCCGATGGAGTAATAGCCAATGATGGAAGTAACATAAATGGATTTTCAGATTTTGCTCGGGGGGAGGGGGGAGGGAGCCCTCTAGTAAAATTTTGCAATTTGCAGTCTTATTTAGTTCAAAATCCATATCTCACCACCTCCCCTTTCGAATGAGTTTGGTGAATTGGTGTGTTGAGAAAATCTTGCAAACAAAGCAAAAAATGAAATAATTAAAAAATGAAAATAATGAACAATTTCATGTTTTGGGTCTTGATAAGCTCAACTTTACTTATCTCTGGCTTTTTAGATAATTGTACTCTAGACATTGTACATGTATGCAGCAACCCTCGCTCACAACCAAACATTGTTTCAACTTGAAGTGTTTAAAAATACCACTGACCGAACGCTGGTTTGTCATACTTGTCAAGTGGTTGTCAAGATAACACTGTCATGTTACTATTTTTTAAATTTTTTGTACAGAATGGAAAAAGTTAAAAGTTATTAATTAAGTTCCATTCTGTGCATATGTACATTGGAGTCTCCTGATTGTGATACAAATTTCATTGTTCAGGTACAAAAAATGTAAACAAAGCTGACATGTGCAAACGGACTGTACCACATCTTTAATTAAGGACTTTTAATTATAGAACTATCAATAAATGAATTATATAATGTACATTATTTAATATAAAATTCAACCTTTATGGGAGGAGGGGGGAGGTGGTGGGTGAGAAAAGCGGGCGGCTTCAGCTGTTTTTGCCTGAATTGTGGGGACGGCCTCAAACTGAAAATTTAATACTTTCCTTCTCTTTTCCTACTCATTTTCGAAATATTTCACACACATATTTCACAGATATTTCACAGCACACTCCCTATCAGGGCTTTTCAGTGACTGGTTACATTATGAATACTATTAGATAGATAGAACCGGACTGACGTGAAGCAGACCGAGGTAGACTTTGAGCTTACAAATGGCACTTCAGAAGCTGCCGCTATTAGTCCATGCCTCATTAATGATCTGCCTCCAGAGCTAATGCCTAACCCACCCTGTCAACTTTCCCTGTGGGAGGAAACATGGAGTACCCGGAGAAAACCCACAACTTTCAGCAGAGCTTTGACTTTTACTCTTTTCACATGAGGACTGGGTTCGAGTCACATTGAGAAGTTCTCACTGAGGCTTGAACCAGCTACCTTAGAGATGAAAGCAGAGCCTGAAATAATTTTAAAATTTGTCCGGAAAAACTTCCGATCAAAACGAAATTTGACCGGAAATTTGCAAAATTGACCGGAATATTTTTTAGTTTAGTTTGACCAAGTCCACATGCCCCCCCCCCCCCAATGATCAAACTCTGTCAAGCATGCAGATGTGCACTGAGTAAATCACTCTACTTGCAATAATAAAACACACATGTTTAATTCTCAATTGCTTATTGGAATAGTTATTGTGAATAATAATTTAATCACGCCCGCCGACGCTGTTTTTATCTTGACCCGACAACCTGGAAGATATTAAAAACAATACGTTTCCTTGATTACTTTATATTAGCCTAATATAGATAATCCAAACTTACAGATGGTACTCACTGTGCTGAGCGCCGACCCAATCATTAAGAAAACATTTTTCTTTTTCTCAAAATTTGGCCGGACAAAATTTCCGATCATTTCAGCATTTGGTCGGAAAAATTGGAATTTGGTCGGAAAACCGCCAGCCGTTATTTCAGGCTCTGTGAAAGGCAAGTGCGCTAACCACTTCACCACTGAAGCCCCCTATTTAAACATTTTTTTAGTTCCTATAATCGTAGTTTCCATAGTTTATTACGTATATGCAGTTCACCATAGGAGTGGGAGTAAATAACAACCATGTTGAATACTGGTCCTCAGACCCCAGTACTTGTCCCATTACTTATTTTACACCAAAAAATGTAACAAATTAAATGTTGGAGGGGAGGGTTTTCTAGATGAAGGTGGGGGCAACTTGAAAATAAAGGTCTTGTGATTGGGGGTGGCTCTAAAAAATTCAATATTTGGTATTTATCACCCACTGCCCCCCATTATTAATGACCAGTCCCTTAGAACTATTCAGAAAACTTCAGTTGCTTTTTGCAGATAAACTATTTAACTTCATAGTCTTTGAAACAGGGCTCGAAGTAGAGAAATAATATGGGCTGCCAGACTAAAATTTTTTGGCAGGTGAAATAGCCTGACATTTTATCACTGAACAGCCAAAGTGGCGATGTCTTAGTGTTTTTAAACTCGTCTATTTTACTACAGTAAACTTGGATTTACATTTCAAATATAAACGTATTTAGTCAACTAAATGACCCAGTATATATGAGTTGTTGTAAGCAAATGAAATGAAATATATCTATAGAATTTCACCTGCCATTTTCTTTTTACTTTGGCAGTTCAAATTTGTTTTTACCTGCCATTTCTAAAATATGGCCTGCTTTTGGCCACTGGCAGCCCGTTATTTCGAGCCCTGCTTTGAAATGAAAGCTGTTAAAATCATACAAATCACATATTTGTGATTTCCCATAATAAATCTCCCTTTATCATTTCTTCAAAGCAAAATTGAAAAAAATTGCTTCATAGCACATTGTATCAAATTATTTTCCCATATCTTTTAAAATCTTCCTCATTCCACTCCTGGCAGTCCACCATATTTTTTACTAAAAAATCAGTAAAATGACCACGTATACACACGCTTGTGATCATTGATGAACTTTTGAAGCTGCCTGTTCCTTAATTGGGTGTATATAGCCAAGTAAAATTAGTAACCTCACCCTGAGCTATCATTGGGCACAAATCATTCAGTTTAATTTAAATATGAAGAGTATACATTCTTTCAAATTGAAAAAAATACACCAAAATCTAGGTAACACACCCCAATAATGTTTTTACATTTCTTCAATTGTACTTGAGTATTTGTAAATGATACAGTAGGTAATATGTTTCCTGCATGTCATACTGTGTTACCTTCTGTCTGTGTTTACACTATAAAGCTACAGCTAGAAGTGACATTGAGTTATCTTTTACATCCATAGTTGGTATACTGTACTGGTACTACAGCAAACCATTCCGTTAAAATTACGTTTCTTAGTATTGTGTTTACCCTATTACGGAGTGGCTTGCTCTAGCCTACTAACTACAGGTCCACTATCCTTTCAAATTTTGTGAAAACTAAGGCAAAAATTTTGGTAAAGCTCCTGAGCCATGATACAAGCTTATGCTTGCAGTTTGATCCACCCATATTTTCTGCACACTTTCATCTTATTCTTCACATCATTCTGTAGTTCTTTCTTCTTTCCAGGAGTGTCTGCCATTTGTTTTTCATCACTTACTGTACTGTCTCTTGCACAGCCTCTTTTCTGCCATGTCGGCGATAATTCATTAATTTGAGTATATTGCTGCTTGATGATTTTGTTATATTGCTATGTGTGTGTCTCCCATTCTTTTCTCTTTATAATTCTATTTCTTCCTCCAGAGATGAGATGATGCCTGTGCATCTATATAGCATGAGTTTTCTTCTTACAGTGTGCTTTTTTATGACAGGCAAGGATATGCCTCAGCGTAATCCTTGCCCAAACGCCACATAGTCAGAATCTTGATAATATTTTCAATTTTAAAATTCATTTTAAGAGGTTACATGAGAAGTGATATGGGATTATCTTCTGCTGCAAAGAAAGAAAGTCTGAAATGGAATCGTCTTCTTCAGGACTATGAGGAAACAAGGAAAGATCGGTAAGAATGGTCTGCGTAACTGGCCCTTGTTGAACCTTGATTAGAGCTTGCTCTGTAATTGTTTAACTATACTCGTATAATGATGTATGAAATATTAAAACTAAAAACTTGTTTAAAAAGAAGAGAGGACAGGAAAAGAAGGCCTGTGGTAAAACGTGGTGATTTTATCAGCTGAAATATTGGTGAATCCTCTGGTCAAAAGAAATATATTTGCACATCAAACATGTCATTCAAGATGGAGGAAATGTATTTGCTTGTGTGCAAACATGTCATTTAGTAGTACAGACCCTCTTTGACTGTTTTGAGTGTATAAAATTAAAAATTTCTTGGTATGTACTTTTGATTTTCAGCTGGGGTCATAGTGGTTATGAGGAATATAACAACCATGTTGAATACTGGTCCTCAGACCCCAGTACTTGTCCCATTACTTATTTTACACCAAAAAATGTATAACAAATTAAATGTTGGAGGGGAGGGTTTTCTAGATGAAGGTGGGGGCGTCTTGAAAATAAAGGTCTTGCGATTGGGGGTCAGGCTCTAAAAAATTCAATATTTGGTATTTATCACCCACTGCCCTGCACCCCATTATTAATGACCGGTACCTTAGAACTATTCAAAAAACTTCAGTTGCTTTTTGCAGATAAACTATTTAACTTCATAGTCTTTGAAATGAAAGCTGTTAAAATCATACAAATCACATATTTGTGATTTCCCATAATAAATCTCCCTTTATCATTTCTTCAAAGCAAAAATGAAAAAAATTGCTTCATAGCGCATTGTATCAAATGATTTTCCCATATCTTGTAAAATCTTCCTCATTCCACTCCTGGCAGTCCACCATATTTTTTACTAAAAAATCAGTAAAATGACCACCTATACACACGCTTGTGATCATTTATGAACTTTTGAAGCTGCCTGTTCCTTAATTGGGTGTATATAGCCAAGTAAAATTAGTAACCTCACCCTGAGCTATCACTGGGCACAAATCATTCAGTTTAATTTAAATATGAAGAATATACATTCTTTCAAATTGAAAAAATACACCAAAATCTAGGTAACACACCCCAATATAGCCTGCGCGCAGACTATATAATGACATATATAGTCTGCGAATCCGTGGCATGAAGCTTGTATGGTCACGTGAATTTCGCAAGAAAAGTTGGGACGAATTGTGATTGGTTGAACTATAATTATGCAGAATTAGTGTTAATTTATCGGACATTGCGTTCGCAACGCGCGTTGAGCTGTTCAAAATTGACCGTTTCCAGGGTCAAATGACTCAAATGACAATGTTTATTACAGTTGTATTTATAGAAGTGTGGCGGATAAACAAAAAAGGCCGTTGTTTTCAAAACGGAAAGCCCATTTCGCCAAACAGAAGATGTAATATTATAGATTTCTTCTACAACGGCCTTTCTTGTTTATCTTAATATCCGCCACACTTCTATAAATACAACTGTAATATAAACATTGTCATTTGACCCTGGAAACGGTCAATTTTGAACAGCTCAACGCGCGTTGCGAACGCAATGTCCGATGAATTAACATTAATTCTGCATAATTATAGTTCAACCAATCACAATTCGTCCCAACTTTTCTTGGGAAATTCACGTGACCATACAAGCTTCATGCCACGGATTCGCAGACTATATATGTCATTATATAGTCTGCGCGCAGGCTAACCCCAATAATGTTTTTACATTTCTTCAATTGTAAAGTTATGAATTCAATGTAAAGTTACATATAGTAATCATAAAATACTCACTAATGTTTTTTCCTTTGTAACGTACTCAGTTTTGATTTATACCAAAATAAACGAGTGTATAAAATTAAAAATTTCTTGGTATGTACTTTTGATTTTCAGCTGGGGTCATAGTGGTTATGAAGAGTTGTATCCTGATGAGTTTCAACAAGGAAATGGCAATGAAATAGAATCAGACGAAAGGTACTATGGATTACACGCATGTCATTACCAATTGGCGCAAAGGGCCATATGGCGTTTAAAGGGCCAATTGGCTATGTACATGTAAGAAAAGTGAAAAAGTCTACTGCTTTAGAAATGTGGAAATCGGATTGAATTCGGTAGACGCACGCATGGGTATTCTGTATTATAACCTTTCCGTTGTTGATTCTAATTTCTGCACTGTTACTTACTTTGTAATGAAAGAACTTGCAAGTTTGTAGTATAGTTTGACATTGTTTGTGCTGGTGGGTATTATTAAACTTGGAATCGAACGTAACGGCTACTCGAAAGTAAACTTGAATCCCTTTACCCCATATGTAACCCCCCC